ACTGAGACATCCTCTTGCCAACAAAAAAAGAACCATCGAAATCAATCGCATAACATGCACACAAAAAATTCAGTCGAATTGAACCTCCTCCTTTTTTGAAGTCGGCTAAAACCAATTTCAAATACAGGATTATTTCTAAAATACTAACAACCTCGCAGGACTATGTTACTAACATCATAAATAAAATTGAACTGCCTGACCGAACGGTTACCATGCTGAATTTCCACGCGGAAGGTCCTTGATTCGATGGTCCGATTCTCAGGCCGGGTTAAATATTTATATAAATATTCATATGGCCCCATTATGGCCCACAATCACTTCTCTCGTGGGTTTGGGTGTAATTTGTGGTTGTCTATGTCCATAGCGTCCGCTATACAGTTTCTCTATTAAAAACTGTCGTTTCGAGATTTTTTACAAAGCATAATAGGTTTACCAAAAAGCTATTTTTAGATCTGTATTTGGTAGACGGTAGTAAATTCAAACGTGCAACCGTCCTCGCCGATAACCGCCACCCCGCTCCAGCATTTTGCATCGGACTGGTATTTACGCTAGCACTTCCTTTCGTTATCGCACAGAGTTATCACCGTTTAGAGCGGTCTACTTAAATATTTTTATTATTGTTCGAAAGTAAAATATGATGAATTATTAAGTCATGGAACAACAGGTTAATGTTCATAATTTTATTAATATAGTCCTGCAAGGTATTACTTTACAATAACTATGGGTAAATAATTATGGGAGCGCCACACAAACCAACCACATCTTGTTATAATCATTTATTCCATAGAGAAAATTGTTCACTTGAAAACGTCATTTTTTAAGCTACTGCTCGTTCACTACGCTGACCTCTCTGAGAAGAATGAGCAAGAGACTCTAGTGATTGCTCTTTTCAAATAAACTTAAATGCTACGGAACAACACTTTGAATCATAATTGTGTGGAAACTAGACTCATGTTGTCTTTCCATACATCTTAATTTAACACATACTCTTCAATTTTGTAATATGACTTTTCAATTAAAATAGTTTTAATGTACCTAAGTTTTAAACTTAGGAAATGATAATCTTAATATATGCTCCGGAATTTTATTGTAAAGACGTTCAGTTCCCCATGATAGAATCGTTTACCTTAGTTAAACGAAATCGGGGTACCATGAGTTTGGTCTTAGTTCTAAGGTTAATATTATGGATGTCTTCTTTCTTAATTATGTATATTTTTACGTGCATACAAAATATTTGAGTAAATGTACTATGATGCCACAGTCACCATACCAGTCTCCTTAAACTTTTCACTGAGAGAAACCCGAGAACCTAAACGGTATACAAAACGATTCGCTCGTTTTTGCAACACAAACATAGTCTGCATATCTGCTTTACCCCACATGAGAATCCCGTGGGACATTATACTATTGAAGCAACTAACTAGTCTAGCAGTAGCAACATCGGTAAGCTCACATCATCAGGTAAAAACTTTCTTTCTTTTGAACCAATATATAAAACTATTCTTGGAGAACCCTTGCGTGATCACTTGTGTAATGTCCATGTGCTTTGCGGCACTTGTCGGACTTAGTGGAAATGTTTGTTACCATCTCAATAATTAATTAATTAAATAAAATACAAATAGACCATAACTTTAAAGTATAAAAGACCATCAAAAGTATAAAAAACGTGCCCAGTATGTAGAACTACTAAAGAATTCTGAAGTGCTAATATATTTAGTCAACAAAGTCCGGGTTAAATGGAAGCTATAAATTTCACACATTACTATTATTGGTATATTTAAAATCTTTTTTGTTGTCCGTGGTTCGTCAGCTCTACTAATTCGCACTGACGCATTCCTTCAAATAGACAAATGAATTCCTAGATGAGAGCGTTAATACTGGCATAAATTTATTATAGTGAAGAGTTTGTGTCAAATGTATTTAAGAAAATGTATTCGTCTGTTCGCGCAATAATCGCTGAATAACAGAAGCTGTAGAAGCTCCCTTACCTGGGATCTGCCGCCAAGCATTAGCGCTCAGTTACACGACGCGAAAGTATTCGCGCGACTGACGTGCGGTGACCGGTCAGTTACCACGCTTTCACGTACATTGTTAGCGAATCTGAATTCTATTTACAAGGTAACAACATTTAAACAACATTTAGGCCAAGCAAGCCAGTCTCGCCCGCGATCCCGGGAGGCTCATTTAAGTTAAAACGTACTTGGTACTTGGTGTAACGGGCTGGTGTCCGCAAGTTAAAACGTAAAAGCTATATAAATAGAGCATATTTTGCAACAAGACCATTCCATACTTGTTACAAACGATGTAAAAGATATGTTTTCTACTCCTGTACTTTAATCTGTCAATTTTAATTGCTTAGGTCATATCACAAAGGTGCTCTTTTTAGTTCTGAATCAAAATTCTATTGTCTGAGGTACTCTCTACTGAACTGAAAAATTCCATTTAAGTTCTTTACACAGAAATATAATGGGTTTAAAAAATGAACGTATTTTTCGTAATAAAAATATGGACTAAGGCGCTACTCCAACGCTCTACCGCATACCTACTGATTGGTTAAATTGGCCTAAAGGTCTTGCAAGTGGGCCATAAACTTTTTTTTTTTAAATATTGGTTTAAATATGAGCGGTACTTGGCCACTACTATTCTCTTTGGTTTTTTGTTTTGTAGTGTTTATTTGGCTTTCGTTTGAGTTTGTTGTCATGAATTGTTAACAGAACATATTAAATATTGGTTGTTCGTGTGAGGTCTTGCCTTGACCGGCCTTGCTAATGGCGTCGTCCGCCAACATATTTATATTATTTTTATAAAACTATAGTACATCATACCGCAACGTACATCTTACCGTACCATACATCATCATTTTTACTTGACATTGGCGAAATCGTCGATTACCTCGATGGGGCCATAACATTTAAAAGAAGATTAAATATTGGTTGCTTATCATTATTTTATTTACTCGTAGTAAAACTATTGCATGCTATCATTACATAATTAGGTCTTAAAATCTCGTACATTTTACTTAGGCCCACGAAGCTTTAATAACCCTCATTGTGCAACGATTGCATAAAATATTATTTTAAACGAAAAAGAGGCGACTCTACATTATTTTGCCCACCTTGCAATACTGTGGATTTACGGTTCGATTTTTATGAAGATTGATTCCAGTGCATACGATCAAGATACGATCTAGCGATTTTTTATATCGAATTATTTCAATCCGATTTTCAGGCGAATCAATTGAATAGAAAGGCAAATCGAATCGTCGTAAGCAATAAACATTTTGTAATAATATTTAATAATTTGAACAAAACTCACAACAAATATTTAGTTTTTGCCAACGATTCCTATGTACTAGCCTACGTTAATTTGGACGTTAATCGGTTTTAATATACCCGGGCATTTGCCCATCTCTGGTCCCGCAATTTGGAATCGTAAAATAAAAATAATCCAAAAAGATCACCGTAAATCAGTTAAAAAAAATGCTTTGTTTTTTTACAGCATGTCCATCGCTGTCGGGGCTTTGTACATCAGAAAGTACTTCGATGAAGCCTCTAAATCCAAAGCTTTGGAGATGGTGACTGACATCAGGTAACTAACTAATTGCAACAGTTTGTAAATACGGAACAGAAATACTGCATTATTGAATTGGAATTCGCAAACAGCATCTGTCACCCTATTTAATAGACACTATATTTCGTTAGTTCGTTTTCTGCACGTTTAAAAAAAATCATATTCTGACTAAAAGTTATTATAGTTAATGAGTGCCTACCTATATATCATGGAGCATAACGAAGAAAACATTACACAGGAATCCTATAGGATTATAAACATGAGAGCCACTTGGCTCAATGTGCAGCACAATGCCACTTGGCAAGAGGGTCATTGATGTGGTTAATTTATCCGAGAACATTTCCAGACAACAATTTCGCAAAACTTTAACTGAAGTGGACTGGATGGACGACAAGACCCGGCGTGAGGCTCTGGAGAAGGCAGATGCCATGGCTTCGCACATAGCTTATCCCAGCGAGATGCTTGACAATGACAAACTTACGGAGTTCTACTCAGCAGTAAGTTTTCTATGTCAAATTAACGTGAACAAATTTTTTTGGTATAATTTTTCAATTTTTTTTAGATATAATAGCTTTGCAGCCAGGGCACTAGAAAATAAATTTATTGTAACAACGAAAATAAGAATAATTAAAAGTGTAAAGTTTAAAGTGGTGTAGCCCTATGAAATGCACATAGAAGAAAAACATTTGGTATATACATATATAGAAATCATATCCCCAATATAATAATATGTTATATATATAATTTTTTATACGTGATAATGGCATCCAAATCTATATACCGAATTATGTACTTTAGTATCATATTTAATTGTGGAACAAAAATTAAATGTGTATTACACGACTTTTGCTGCCACATTTATAGTTCCTATCAATAATAAAATTTTATACCGAAGCAATAAGATTATGAATAAATGCAGCTGTAGAAGTTCATTAGATAACAATAGTTTTAAGATCTGTAAAATTGATGTAGGTTCTTAATTACAAAACACAAAATGGACATTCCCATTTTTATGTTTTCCAATAATATAATTGATATCAACATTTTAAACGTTAGCTCACCCTGGCCTGCATGTAATCTGTAAAATACCATATTATATTACATGTAACACAGTGTGGAACATTTAGTAAACTTCTAACAAACAATGTTCATTTTCTTTCAGTTGGAAATGTCATCAGACAAACTGATGGAGTCTGTACTGAACCTAACGTTATTCGGGACCGAATTTCTCTTCAGTAAGCTCCGTGAACCCGTCAACAAAACCGACTGGATCACTCACGGCCGCCCCGCCATCGTCAACGCATTCTATTCTTCAATCGAAAACAGCATTCGTAAGAAATATTTCAGCGACTATAAAAGTAGTGAAAGTGATTAATTAATTATCTGTGAAATTATAAAAGTACATCCACACAGAAATCTAAATATATTGTGAGCATTGACACAACTCACAAAATTAATGAATGAATAATATATAAAAAATGAATAAATAAAGAGTGAAACTAAAATGTATTATATTTCCATAACACAGAATTCCCGGCCGGGATTCTACAAGGCGCTTTCTTCTCTGCCGTGCGACCTGCGTACATGAACTACGGCGCCATTGGTTTCGTCATCGGTCACGAGATCACACACGGTTTTGACGATCAGGTAATTTTTGCAAGTGTCTTGTTCATTTTATGACTTACCTTATTAGCGTTTTCCTTGTTCTAGGCGTCATACCACATTTGTTATTACTGTGTTAAAGCCGTTTCCAACTCAATTACAGCATCAAAACGTACCTCGTAAGATGAAAAAGGTGACATCAGAGCCTTTGCACACGGTGAATTTTATACGCGCCGTAAACGTTTCACAAACGCGCGTTTACGGCACCATAAATGCGCGTAATCTGCACGTATTCGCGCGTCATCTACGCGTATACGCGCCGCAGACGCGTTGTAGTGAATCGATTCAAACGCGCGCAAACATCGCGTTGCTAGCAAGAAGCTTATATAAAATTTCATGCAGGTGCAATTATATTATTATTATATAATATTATTATATATAATATTATTATATAATATTATTATATATAATATTATATATAATAATATTATATATTATAATATTATATTATAATATTATTTCAAAAATTAACAAACAAAACCAATATTAAATGTATCTCTTATCAAAATGCGCGATACATAGTTACGCACGTTTATTAAAGCCCGTATACGCGCGTCGTCCGAGCGTATGGAATACGTCGTATGCTATATAGGCTCTCAGTTTATTTTAAAACATTGTACAATTCCCAGGGACGCCAATTCGACAAGAACGGAAACTTAGTTGACTGGTGGCAAGAGATGACCAAAGAGAAGTACCTAGAAAAGGCAAAGTGTATTATCGACCAGTATTCCAACTACACAGTCAAAGAAGTGGGCATGAAGGTTTGTTTTAACACTATCCACTGTGACGTGCACAATAGTGCTAAATTGTCAAAATAATATTATATATATATATATATATATATATATATATACCTACTTGATTATTTTCAGCTGAACGGCGTGAATACTCAAGGAGAAAATATAGCTGATAACGGTGGAATCAAAGAGGCGTATTACGCGTACCAAGCCTGGACTCACCGCCACGGAGAAGAACCTCGTTTACCAGGATTAGAGAAATACACACCTAAACAGGTTACTACTTCCTTTAATTATTAGGTTTGGTGACAGTATATATAGATAGCATAATTATATAAAATAAGTTTACGTGACATAGCGTCACGTGATTGTCCAGCACTTTTACTGATCTGTCTAATAAAATTACGATGATTGGCGATTTTAAATAAAAATATTTGGTCTAATTATTAATACAAAGCTTAGTGTTCGACTAAGAAAAAATTCCTTTAATCCGGCTGGATATGAACCAGAGTCGACCAGCAAACCGTGGCAGACGCTATGCCAACTAAGCCACGGAACGAACTACCTAGCGGACCTTACGAATTTTTCTGTGCTTTTTTTATAATATCAAGTGACGGGACAAACAAGTCGTACAAGTCTGATGGTAAGCTGTCCATAACAGTTGCAGTGTCACTCAGAGCTCCAAATCGCAAAGATCTGAGGGGCACTGCCACTGCGCCTGTCACCCTGAGACATAAGTTGACAAGTCCCATGAGCCTGTAATTTCATCAGCACTTGCCCTTCAAAACCGGAACACAGTAATGCTAACATTACTGCTTGGCGGCAGAAAGAGGTAAGGCTGCAGTGCTTCCCTGGACGAACTCTTTCACAAGGAGCTCTACTGCTTACGTGCTTGTTGCATATTTTTGTTTTTGGTTTTTAACACAGACATATATCTAGATAGACGCCGCAAGTACAGCAATTTCTATGAAAACCAAGCGTGCCACATTTTTTGTACCCACTATGACGTCATAAGAACTGTTTAGTGGTGGAAACCTCCTTCCGCTCGCTCTAAATCGATTGATTGAACGGAATACGCGAAAACACGCGTATTCCATTCAATTAATCGATTCTAAATAGAATAATTTAAAGTATTTGTTGATTACGAGTAGTCATAATATTAATATAGTAGAAAAATACTAGAATAAGATACTTAAATCCTTTATTTTACTTGTTTTTAAAAAATGTTGAATACTTAAAAAAATTAAGACTTTAATTTTTAATCGACTTCAAATATTAAAATTATTGTCCTTCCAATAAAATGAGCTTATTATAACATCTTTTTGTAATAGAAGATCTTATCGATTAACTTAAATAAAGAAAACGCACGTCAATATATGAACTTGCGACTGCCTCAATTAATTTTACTAGATGGTTTTCTGTTGGTAATTGATCAAATTGATGAATGGCAAAACATATAAAAATGTTACTGCTGACAAAATTTGGTAAAAACTTATTAATCATAAGAGGTTTACTTAATGACGGCCTCGTGTGAAATTTTTGTGATTTGGATTTTGTTTCTCGGATTTCTAACTCTGCTACTCTGCATATTTGGATAGCATCTTGTGTGTGGGATAAATTAGACCACCTACGCCCTCGAAAGCAACGAACTCATACGTATGACCAACTCCAGGTTTTTATAAAGACAGCGCACTGTTAATTCTTTTCATTATATATATTTTTTGTATTACACGTACTATATATCCGGCGATGTATGTAATTATTTACTCAATATATTCGAACATTCGAGGCAACGTGCTGCAAAAATTATCGAAATTAGAAATACTACTACTACTACTACAAAACTGAAATAAATAACGAAACGTTACTAAACTTATAACACAACAGTTATAGAATATTTTTATAATATTGCTAAGGTCATAATAATTTTCGTCCCTTTGTTTTCAAAATCGATCAGAATCGCGAACAGTGTTGCCTAACGTATACATCACTAAATGTTAAATTTGACCAAAAAATTTATAAGCGGCCGTACCACAAAATTGAATGCATTATACAAAAGTGCGTTCGTTCGATATTCATGGCGTATTAACAAAGGCTCATAAATATATCGCACCAAGTAAAAGCCGTATTACAAATCATGAGGCATACACTCGTACACATATATATTTGTTTTCTCGAAATTCATACAAAACCAAAATAATTGTTTTTAAAATAAATTATGCATCTTCTGATTACAAAATCACGCGCCCGTGGAAGGAAACGTCTCTGTTTACCCGTTTGCTAACAGTTACGGTGTTTTTGCAGTTTATAATGGCACAATTATGCATTTTTCGCGTTTTCGACTGATGCTTATCTACGTAACGGTCGAGCGCGTTCTGAAGTGTAGCAGCGGCACTAAGTGAATTTCACTTACTTTGGGCACGCGAAGTACGTACACTTGCGGCGTCTATCTAGATATATGTCTGTGGTTTTTAACGACTTTTCTGCCGTAGCGCCATCTGTGAGAAATCTATTTCTTCATTCAGCCAGTTACTACTACGCTACAGATGTTGCTTTAATAATTGTAATTTTTAAGTTTACTGGAAGTCACGATATATGACCACCATGATATTCAATTATTTTTGTGAAATTACTGCACTGGTTTGTTATAATTATTAATACAAAGAACGGACACTAAGAAAAAGTTCCTTCGATCCAGCCGGATTTTGGTCATTTAAAATTTGAGTACAAAATGAGAACCCAAAAATTGATAAAATACCTAACGCAAAATCTAACACCTTACTAAATTGTCGGTTTTATTGCAGCTATTTTGGCTAAGCGCTGCAAACACATGGTGTGCAGTATACCGTAACGAAGCCATCAAGTTGCGCATCACAACGGGCTTCCATGCTCCAGGACGCTTCCGAGTCGTCGGGCCACTAGCCAACATGGAGGAATTCGCGAAAGACTATAAGTGTCCCGTTGGCTCTCAAATGAACCCACGTAACAAATGCAAAGTGTGGTAGTGCTACCGCGTCGCACTACCCCTCTCCATTATACACTGAGTCAGATCTAAAGATCTCAGGCACAGTCGGCTCTCTATTGCCGATGTGAAAGGCCCTTTATGACGAGCTACAATGCTCACTTCGTTTTCCACTTCGTACATGGAGACCCGAAAACATCACACTTTAAAGCACCTTTTATGTCTTTTAAATTAATTAGCAAAATTGGCTCGACGAAGCCTTGATCGTGTATTGTAGGGCAATTTGTGAATGTAATGTTGGATGTTTAGGTGTCATCATATTTCGATGTTGTTTAAATTTGTAAATAGACGTTTTATTAGATACTTTGTACACTTTAATGGCACTACGATCAATCAATGATAATTTATTTGAATGAGACTTAGACTGAGCGTGATACTTTGCAAATCAACGGGTAGGTATGTTCTAGACGCGTATTATGCACTAACTTTTACATCAACAAGTACAAAAGCTATAATGGCCTACTTTGGCACTGACCTTTTCCAGTGTGTGCTTCCTTTAGAACTGAGTTATTTCATACTCTAGTAATCTTACTGTGAGTCGCGTCAATAAAGCACTACCAAACCCGGTTCGACAGGCAATCCAAATCTTACACGATATCATTTATATCGAGACAAAAGCATAATCGTAGCTGATGTGACCCTATGGCATATTCATATTTTGTATCTATTACTTATTGTGCTGTATCGAATCTCCTTACGTGAAACGATCAGTGATAATTTAATTTTAGTGTAAGTATGTACTTAGTTAAGAGTAACACGTTTGGATACAATTAAGTATTGTTGTAAATCATTGAAACACCAATATAAAAAATCATTTTTTTTTCAATATTTGTTTTTTTATTTATTCACACTAGCTTCCCACACCTCGCAGTACTGATAAGATATTTGGGACCTCACAAAATCTGAATAAAAGGCGATAGGCAAACTTTCTACATCATTGGGGCGACGTAGTTAGTGAAGTGCCTAATGTGCTCCCTACGTTAGTACTCATATTGGACGTGTAGTCGACGTAAACTGAACGGCAAGTGAATTGTTTTTGTGAACTCATAGTACGAATTCGACAGGCAATCCAGCTTACGGGATTCATCGGAATTGCAATAAGAATTCATAGTAGGCCCCCAGATGAGAGTTCCTGGATTGTAAACTTAGGTGCTGCGACGATAGTGATAAAAAAATAAAAATGTAGATAAGAAACAACAAGTTCAGATTTTTCATTATATTTGATCCGAAAAGAATACACAAGTAGCTTATAATAATAATACTACATAATGCTTGTATTGATAGCTGGCGACACAGAAATAAAGACAACAATTTCTTTTATTTTCGATATCAGTATTTCGTTACACAAACTACAAGCAAAACCGATAAGCTACTCACTCTTGTATAAGAAAATTAAGTGAAATCTTAGTCTCAGACGAACATACAGAGAACGGGTCGGGTCGGGTGCATGTTGGTTCGGGAGGGTGGGCGCGTGTTGATTCGGGAGGGCGGGCGCGTGAGCCGCGCCCGCGCGTGTTGTCTTGTCATCCATATAAATACACGGAATTAGACTCGCCGCCCGTGCTCCCGACCCGACACGCTCTCGACCCGATACGCTCTCGAACCGCACCCGTTCTCTGTGTATTTCACGCTTTAAGGTTACGCTAAATTTATTTGGATTCTTTAGCAACGCAATCCACGTTATAATAAACGATGTATCACATAACTCCGACAGTGAACGCGGTGCCAAAGTGCTCTTACAAATGTAGCCTAAGCCTCAGGTATAGCATACACAGTGCTACCGTCTTAGGGAGTCACCACTCTTGTTAAACGCAGAATCGCATTAAGCTGGTCATAAAAAACTGTACGTCTAGTCATGAACGTAAGAGCGAAAAGACGGAGGAACTCTCTGTGTCTTTCGATCTGTGATGTTTCGAAATGTTTTGATTCGTAAACTATACAATTTATTACAACTAATTTAAATAATTTTTGTTGTATACAAATTTTTACGACTTTCACAAATTATTATTCTCAAAAACTTTTCGCGGCGGCGCGCGAACTGCCACATCGGTGCACGAACAGCCGCGACGTACGATCGCGAAGACGCGCAAACGGCTGCGATTGCGCGCAAACGACCGCGTCAATCGGCTTAATGCGACAAGTGTGGTTAAACACGACTCCCTTAAGCAACAGGAAGCACCGATCCACAGCGGTTAGAACCAAAAGAGAACATAGGATCTTAAAATAATCAAAATACAATATGTAAAACAGAAGTAACCGTCGATTTTATTGTTGGACATAAAATTTATGTAACATTTTTTTCTATTGGAGTCATAGTTTTTTCCCTTTCGGACTGTTAATTGCCCTGGTGGCTCCAGGAGTATTTTCCCACTTAGATGGTGGAGCTAATGATCTCAGTTTTAGCGAATAACTTTTTAGGCCCGTGGCATAAACCTCTTTAATTAAAAGTAAATGACAATGGACGATGGACATTGTCAAACAGCTTTGATTGGTAATTAATTATGCATACTATTCATTAGTAAAATATGCATGCATACATTGAATTGAGCACGCTTCAAAATCAAAATATCTTATGTCATGCGTAAGAAAATTAAAATTGAAGTCGTCACATTGAGTAAGCATTACTACTCATTCGTAAGGCAGATTACACTTTGGGCGCCGAGAAAATGCGTTCCTTACATTTCATGATTCAAAGGCCGATGGAACTTTGAACTGGCAAACAATTTATGATAAAAAAATGTTTATCGTTAATAGGCACTGCATATGCAAAATTTAATTAAATTTCATATTTACCTTCAATAAACTCTATATTAACACTAAAATAGTTTATTTAGCGCTAAATTTAATCTGTAATGCAAAAGAAATCACAATATTTTTGGATCGGTACTATGTAGAATTTAGGTTACCTAAGCTGTTTATTTTTGTAGTAATATGATAACCAATAGTATCGTTATACTTTAGAACAAAAAGAACTATTTGAAATGACGACGTATTACAAATTCAATATAATTAGTCAACCTAAACATTGGTATTGTAATTAAGTCAAAATATTGTATCAACAAAGTAGTTGACAAGAATTTAATCATACATGTAGGCGAAGACGACAACGCAAGCGTATCAGAGTCTGCTAATTCAATGTATACATAATTATGAATTAAGTTAATTAAATTTTAAACGTTTTTTAATGAATAATTTCGTATAATCGAATTTTATTTTTTTTGACCTAGTTATTTTTTTAAATTGTTTTATTATTAAAATGTTATAAGTAACAAGACTCCACGTAAACAAATAGTTAAACTTAGAAAAAAATAACCTTTTTAACAGACCGAAAGGGTTTCTTCAGTGTGAAGAGCAACTGATTAATTCTTTAAATAAGATGTTTTTAAAATTAGTATCCGGCTTATTATTTGGTTTATTGACATGTGTTGCCCCAAAAGCACTCCTTCGAAGGTACGACATATCAATACAAATTCAATATCATTTGGACATAAACAGCTAGTTATACTAAGTATTATGTTGGTATTTTTTTTAACAACAATATAATTAAGATGAATGCAATTAAGAGATATGTCAGATTTAAGAGATGACGCAACTCATTAACCTATCGCCACCACTACGATTACATAACAAAGTATATCACTACATTGCCGCTCTATGATTGGTTGTTGTAGTAACTAACTCAAGTAAATGCTCAGTTTATTAATCAGTTAATCCATTTTAACTTAAATTATCTGCATAGCATGCGTGGCTACCAAAAGTGTGTATCATCAAAGAATTTCAACAAATAATAATCTGTCCACGGTGTTATGGTCTGACCTTTAAAACTGACATCTGTGAGCGGTAATGGAGTGTAACAGAACGACCGACCAACACCCATCACAAACTGCCGACCTCGTCTTTCGTATTCATTCGAGAAGCAGAAATTGCTAAAATGACTACCAAATTACGGAAATAACAAGGTCAGCCATAACCTGATGTTGACAATTATAAGGCAGAGTTCGTTCGTTTGTGATACATCGAGTGATGTTTGTGATAGTACAAAGCTTGTCTGGTTCAAATGAACGGTTTAAAAGAAGTTATAGCTAAATACGCAAATGCAAACTTATAAAAACATGGCCTAATACATACATGTCAGCATGGTTCGTGGGGTGTACACACCACGTTACTTATAAAATGGACATGGTGTCGAGGTAAGCAAAGGGCGACGGCATAAAGAACAGAGCGAAGGTCATGAACGTATACCTACATTCCAGTCATTGTGTTGTGTTGTGAAAAAAAATTAATGGAAGGGATGGACTCGTTCGTCTGACCCGGAAACGTGTCCGGGGCGTCTGTCCCGCGCGCAGCTAGCGCAACTTAATAGCTGACTGAACGATGGCTAAATGCGAAAAGATGCGCTTTAAGTTGGAAGCTATGTCAGGCTTTCACTGGACATTGCGACTGACATCTCATGTACTGGTCCGGATAACTAGTCCATGTTCAACCCCAGTCGCTTAGGAATTTTTGGAATTGAAGAGACGCTCTGGAGGTAAACGCGCCGACAACTCCGCGACCAAAGAGGAAAATTGGTAGTTGACGTTAACGGCTCAACTCTAGTTGCAATGCACAACGAGAAGGGAGCAACAATTCCGGTACCTATTTCAACAATAGGGAGGACACTAGCCTTTTGAGAACCGGATGAAGTCTGTGTCAACAGCCTCACCTGGGATCAGGACATCACTGATGCCTGTGCAGGCTTGCTTGCACAGGTAATACTGCCGTTCCCATGTAACCAAAAAGTTGGGTAGGGAGGGCACGACAATCAAAACTGAATAGAAGATATGGGATATGGACGTAATGAAGCAAGGTAACACAAATACTACCAATACATTGCTCGGCGATTTTTCACGCTAAAGCCGAAAGAAGGATAAGAATGTGCGTTAGGGATTTTTTATATTGTTTTTATACTCAATAACTCATTTTTATTTAATTGCTTCAAATATATGACTCCAATCGAAAAAAATATTATTACACTACAATGGTATATATTAAAGAACACGATGGTATATATTAAAGTTTTTTGTAATATTGTACTTTGATTTTAAAGATCCTATTGTAGACGGTCAAATCACTGTGCGGTGACAAAGCGGATTGAGAAGAAAAATAAAACTTTTCGTTTCGCTTTAAGCGCTATTTCATTTTTTGGGGCGCAGAAGTACGAAAATTTCTTAGATCCTCTACTGATTAATACTGATTTGATATCTTAATATAAGCTTTGAGATTCACATCGAATAAATGATCTAGATTTATAAGAGATTTAGCGATGTTCAAATCGTATCTCGTCGATTTTTCCAAGCGCCAATTTATGTTTTTCTCTGCATTGCTGGTACACTGTGGAAGTAATCTTTTATTTTTTCTATTCAAGGCAGCTAAATATAAACATAATTAGTCTACTCTCCGCCCTTTTAGAAGCTTTACATCGCTTTGCTTCCTGCACCCCAACAGTTTAGATAAACTACGAGTAAACGCCTAAAATTGTCCTTGGTACTACTATTTAGAATAAACTTTACATCTATGTCCAGATAACATATTAAAACCGGCTTACGTTTAGCCAAACAATATTTCTGTCATGTATATTGAATATGACAAAAAAAAAACATAACAAACAATAATTCTCAGGAAGTTTTTCTTACAGCGCAAAATACTAAATAATCAAAATGAGTTTCGTAATACTTTTCTCAAATAAATAAACACAAACCTTAAACATCTGAGATCACAAAGCAATGTGCTAAACTAATGTCTAATAGCAGTTAAATTTATATCGAAATAGATAACGTTGCATTAAGTGACTGATTGCAAAAAATAGCTGTTTACGTATTAATATATATTCAGATAAATATAATTTTAATACTTACAAGACAACCTCTTTGTGCCCCTTATACAAAATAATGTTTATACCATTGACTTACAAATAAATGGACGACGGGTCTAATACAAAAACCACGAAAAAAATGTCCCAAGTCAACCTATTCGAAATTTAAATTGTAATGTCATCGCAGTATCGCGCTGTCAGTAGAACAAATGAAGACTAAAGCGGAGTGTCGCGCTCTGTATACGATTTTAGCGCCTTACAAGTGCGGACACTTTTTAGCGCGGCCCCGACGTCCATATAATTGTAAGTCAATGGTTTATACGTATATTTGTAGCATTAATACTGGCGTCCACTAACTAAAACGCGGTTAAGTGACAAATGGTCGAATATACGTTTTAATTAGAAAAAAATAAAGCACAAAATTCTCATTTAAAAACAGTTAAAATTAGTTAACGTGTTCAACTTACCCTGACGATGCACAGCTGAAATATCATTAAACAATTTAAATTTTCTAAAACTGGGTTATGGTTTTAAATTATATCTCACAATTTTGTTTTGTCATTTAACCGCATTTTAGTTAGCGGACGCCAGAATATGCAAGGTGACTTTTATTTCGACCCTTCCTACGTAAACTATCGTATGTCGAAATTGCCATGTTTACTGGGGAGAGTTTTAAAGTTTTTAATTGACTGAAATGAGCGTAACACGTGACTTTATCATTTCACAATATTGTGGTCGTTCATTTAACCGATATTTAGGATTTTATAATACGCTATGTGAGTAATGAGATTTGCCGAATAAAACTGAGAAATGCTAAAGTCACGTGTTACGCTCATGTTTGCGAATTCAGAACTTTAAAACGCTTTCCTGTGAACTTGCCAATTTCGACATACGATATTTTACGTAGGAGGGGTCGATTTATTTCCATAACAATTGAGGAGCGTCACAACAATAACCAATATCGTTGACTTGCTTTCTCAAACTCGTATCTTAAAGCACAAAGGTTCTGAAATGCAAAACTGGATTGTATATACAAATTTTGCACATTTCCTTCATATTCACACACTGGCTTTTAGCTATTCTTAAAGTAATGCATCCAAAATAATAACCTTGATAAGAAATTTAAAATAAATAGAAAGTTTTGCTATCTCCTTAATAATCACTCTTTATAAGATACGAGTTTAAAGTTTAAGTTTGAAAGTAAGGCATCGATATGTCACATTTCGACTTGTTCTTCTCTTTTAATGCCAAACAGTAGTTTTTGTTCGTCTCTTTGGAAGGTCAATGGTCTCTACGAGTAACTGATCCAACCTGAGCATTAACCACTAAATCCGCTTTATAAATGAATTTCAAACGCACGGATCTGAACACAATGTGACAAATCCTTTCAATGAGACTAGACGAAATTGGAGTTCAAATTTATATTAGTATTGGTTTCGGAGGTCCTCAATTGCGATTGTGTCGAAAAAATATATAAACCAAATACAAATGAGACACATCGTCACCTTAGAGTGGAAACCTCGCTTAATCATAAACACATAGTTCGTTTTTACAGATTTTTGTTAAATAAAATCGTATAAACTTCTTGATCAAATATATTATTAAAGTAATATAGTAGCTGAAAGAGGTAAAATGCCACACCACTATTTTATCTTCGTCCTGAAAAATTACACAGAAATCACATACGAGGTTTTCACTCTAAAGCTAAACTCACACTGGCGCAGAGTCGAATCGTCGCGTCGCGTCCTGTTCTTCAACTACAACGCCTGGCGACGCGCGTCGGTTACGGTGTGGTCGGCGTCTGACGCCTCACTGCGCTCAAGTAACGCGCGGCGCCTCTCGACTGCAACTAAGCGTCGACGCGTGACCCCATATGTATATAACACAAATTTGAACCTTACTAATGGGAAAATAGAGATGACTATGCTATAGGCGAAAGACATGACGCGTCCCGACGCTTCGACTCTGCGCCAGTGTGAGTTGAGCCTTAGACGCCTGCAAATTAGACACGCCAGTTTTACAGACTAGAGGTTGAAAATTAGTAGTGGCGTGGATGCCTCCACGCCACTACACAGCGTTTCTATCAGCGTCTAATTTGAAGCCGCACTAAAGATTATATAATATTGTCACCAATGAAAACAAAAAGAATAATAATAACACTGAGCACACAATGTCAAATTACATTTTTTGAACTGTGTTTGAATAACATTTCAAGGGAAAGTAGGTACCTCTGTCCAAATGGGACTTTTGCGACAAGAAATGTTTCAAAGACTTTTACCCTCTGCTATTTTGAGTTCAGTAGGAAGACAAACATTTTTGTGGCTTGGTATCTAGAGCCATGTATTACAATATTTAACTTTGGTGCTTTTACACCAAGTGTGGGTAATTTTTATATTAGTTTTCACTACCTGATTTCGACGGCAATTTTTATTATTTAAGTTTTCTAGAATATTATAATGACAATGGACTGTTAATACAGACAATTGCCCAAAATAACGTTTAAACCACTCCCAGAGTGGAATTTCTCAAGAAATTCACTTTGAAACTTTTGCGTTGCATTATACTAACTAACACTTCAAAACGGGAATTAAACAATCTAAAACGTTGCATACCTACCTATTATCTATACATTTCTTTGACTGACAAAACACGTAGGTGTGTAAATACCTATTAAATTGTTTAATCGCGTTTAATCACGTTTTGCAATGATGGCCTAACATTGTTACAGCTACTATCCCAAAACCTGAAACTTTATCTTAAATAAGACTCGACCAAAGCATGATATAGAATTTTTAAGTCAGCGACTGTGGCTTCGACAGCGTAGCAATATTATTTTGTAATTTACAAGCTTTAGTCAAACTTTCTTCTTTTATTTTATTTTGATTGATCCGATAATCTGCATAAATTAAAACGTCCGCATCAGCATTGATTGATGCTGATATTCCTTGCGGATATTCGAATCGTGATATGATTTAAAAGGTACGCTGAAATAATTTACAAACCTTTCAGAAACAGACTGCAAGCCGAAAAAGCAACTGAAATGTTGTTTTTAAAATATAACTTTGATAAAATTCCTCTACGGTTAAGTTAGCAAGATTGACTGTTTTTATGCAGATTGATTCTTTTATCAACAAATGTCATAAAATCATTGAAACATTATTTTATTACAATACCAAACAGAAAAATAGAAAAGTTTTTCGTAGGTTCAGTAAGGACGTACATTTTTCAGTTTTTTTTTAAATAGATAAAATCAGCATCCGCATCATCAGCATCTGCTGATGTGTAAAAAACTTGCATCAGCTATAAATCTGGTTATGAGTTCGTTTTAAGTATTGTTCGGAACAATAAAACATTATATAAATCGAGACAAAATATATAAATACAAACTTGAAAACAAAACGGTTATTTTATAATGAACTGTTCGTGGACTAAAAGTTACATATTTCAAGTTATTGTAGTTATTACTATAATCTAAGTCTAGACAGAGTGTCACCCTGTTGAAACTTGAAAGCAACAAAATAGGGCAGCTAACAAAATTTTATGTGTGTTTATCTTTTAATTTTGCTCGGAAAAACTAAATTTATGCCGTAAAGTTAGGTGAATTAGTAAATTCTTTACAACAAACATTGAAGCATGCTTTAGTCTTAAACAAATTATTTCAAATTTCTCTAACCCTACTCTATTAGCTGCCCCATATGTACTCTTAGTATATTGGACGCTTACTCGCTTACTCCTCTAAACTCGGCGGGTTGTCATCTATGAACACCACATGAGATTTCAGATATATAAGGAACGCTAACAGTCGATCATTGTTCGCTTCAGAGCCCCTGCAACAACACAGGTACTTAATCCCTCCTAGGAAGTTTTATTTATGACTATAAAATAGAGTAGATAGAAATAGATACAGAATAGAAATCCTATCTGACTCATCGAGTATATAACCAGAAATGGAGACGAAATAAAGGCCCGGCAACTCATCAGGTAAATGGGCCTTATATCACTTTTAAATATCAACTCTCATTTGCACTGAAATCACAAATTCGAAAACTAAAATAGTATAGCGCCAACAACTGACCTTGTGTACGACTTCGTATATTCCAAAAATATGCTGTAGTTTTTGTAAAAAACATAATATCTCTAACTATGGGGGCTGTTCCATTCGGTGGTGTGGGAAAAACAGCAAAACATCTAATTACAAAACAAACGGAATCACATTTTATCGGTAATTAAACATTAAATATGTAATTTTTCAGTTTTCGTCTATTATAGCAAAGCTCAAGTTAAACTGGTCGATTTGAAGTGAGACAATTGAGAGACACTCGTCAATTGTTTCGAATTCGGGCTGGCCAATCGGAGCGCAGTTGTCGCCGTAATGATATGGTAGAATAGTTTTCTAAACAAATTAAATGACTTTTCATCTCTATTTCTGGTTATAATAATATACTCGATGATCTGACTGGACTTTGGATTGGAATATGCAATACCATAATAATAACAATAGCGTAGCAGACACTTAATTGCCTGATATCAATTGTCGCAAACTAGGGCATTCCCTTTACTACGAGTACCCAGCAACAGAATTCACCCTGGAGCAATTACCAAAACACCCAGATCAAGACCAATTTAGAAAAGTTCATTTCCGGAATTGGTCTTACAGGGAATCGAACCCGAGACACCTCCGCATCCAGCGACCACAGTGTAAAACGTTAGGCCACCTACTTTGATAAGTCAAGGCATCAACATCAGATTACACGCATCCACTGCTGGACATAAGCCGGGTACAGTTTATTATATAGTATAGTATTGAACAAATATTATTCAGTGTGCCCAGTTACTGCTACAACGTTACTATCATTACTGTCTTATAAATGTAACTTACTCAACATCAATTTCAATAGCTAGGACAGTATGGTGCGGTTTGCCTTCCTCGTCGAACCAACTGCAAATCAAAACAAATAATTATGCCACTGTCGACTGATATGAATTACAAAATAATCTCTACTGACGTAAGCCGGTTTTCGTGCTATATTACATTCTCTAAAAGCAAACCCGCATAAAATACTGCCAATTTCATGATACTATCCCCGCTCCCATGGATTTTTTTATAATATCAAATCTGGGTTATCTGGATATGTGATGTTCGAGTCGTGACGTGACCTGAAAGGCACGCTGGAATAATTTACAAACTAGAAAACGCAACTCAGCTGTTGTTAACTTCGATAAAATTCCACAACGACTGAGTTAGACAGATCGATTGTTTTCATGAAGAATTGATTATTTTGTTATAGATGTCTCAAAATCATTGAAATAATATTAATAATATAATAATATTTTATTACAATACCCAAAAAAATAGAAAGCTTTTTCATGTAGGATGGATCGCTGATAGATTTAGCAAGGATGTACATTTTTCTCGACTTTTTTAAATGCATAAAATCAGCATCCGCAGCAGATGCGGATTCTGATTTTAATATATTTTATGTATTTTCAGGGGATGCTAAGATCAATAAATCAGCATTCGCTGATGTGTAAAAAAAACTGCATCAGCAACAACCCTGGTTACTATATGGAGTTCAATGGCATTTGTTTTGATCTCTACTGATAAATAATTTTCAGGTTAGTTTTCTCTACCTAATTTCGGTGGCAATTTTAATTATTTAAGTATTCGAGTACATAATCGTGAAATATTATAAAATATTCCAAGATACTACACTCGAATATTAAGTAATACTTCATGATAATATTCTAGAATATTTAAATAATATACATAAATTGCCACCGAAATTAAGTAGAGGAAACTCACCTGTAAATTACACAAATGTTCCCTAAAGCGAACTTGAAATTAAATAAAATTTCAAAGAAATAATCTTTAAGTGTCAATATCTCGAAAGTTGCGTTGTTTATGGCAAATATTGTAGCCCAGCCTTAGCGAAATTAGATTGCAGAAGGCTCAGTTCCACATAATATATTGTAACAAAATAAAATTATAAAATAAAAAAAATACAATTAATATAAAACATTCTACTAATAAATACAAAACACTCTACGCTTCTATACAAGACCAAATACAGTTCACCAATACTCACCGCAAAAGCGCCTATATTATTTTAACAATAAAGTTTAGAAATAAATGAAGGTGTTGATTTATGGGCACGTCCTCCCATTTTCACAATTTTAATGGGCGACGACGAATCGAACCAACGTAAGAATAATTGTAAAAGTAGCCAGGAAACAGCGAAGGGTGTGACAAAAAGGTGTGATGACGATGAAGGAGGTCAGTATCGTCACACTTTTATTCAATAATTGTTTAATATTGATTTTAAAAAATGTGAATAGCGCAATATTGAAGAAACCACAGCACACACAATCCCGTGTGTCCTATTGGGGAGTAGATGGAAGTACAAAGATGGGACCAATTTAGTCTGGTGTGACAAAGTAGGTGTCCCAAAAATACGAAGAGAATTAAAAAAGATCATCAACCACTGGCAAAGACATATCACATTAGGTGGGATTTTTTTTGGACTTATATTTAGTGTACTGTAACTATTCCTGACGCTGATATGCATTGAAAATTGGAATCATTTTGTCTATTCGTTACGGCGCATTCTCTAACTATATTAATAGACTACCAAACCTCGTACGCCATATTCATTATCTTGGACCCATTTCATATCATGACATAATGAAGTTGTGGCACGAAATATAATATACTAAAAATATTCTTCGATACAACTAAGATATATTAATAAGCTATCGATAGCTTTCGAAATTCGTTAAGAAAGTAATGACTAACATATCTGCAAACGGCGGCGAGGTGCATGGCGCCGCCGCGAGTGAGCGCGGGCGGCGCACGGGACCAGTCTGCTCCTGCGCCGAACTAAGTGTGTGCCGCGCCACATGCCAGAATGCCTTGCGACACGCGCCCACACCGTCGATACGCTCGATACGCACCCAACCTTCGCAAATATATATGCTCTTTATAATAAGAACATTCTTAAAACTAAAGTTGATATGATCCTTAAGAATTACTTCCGCGACGTCCGACTGTGGGTCACGTTCCATCTACCACTTTCAATGACGAGACCATTGTCAACTTAATACTTAACATAGCCTTAAATGAGATTCTAGATCGAAAAATTAACTGTTACATCGACCCCTCCTACGTAAAGGATCGTATGTCGAAATTGCCAAGTTTACAGGGGAGCGTTTTAAAGTTCTGAATTCACTCGTTACTCAATTAAAGTGATCATCATCATAGATCATCTAACCGATACCTAGAATTTTATAATACTCTATGTGAGTAACGTTAAAAAAGCTTTGCCGAATAAAACTGAGAAATGCTAAAGTCACGTGTTATGCTTATTTCAGTGAATTCAGAACTTTAAAACGCTCTCTTGTAAACTTGGCAATTTCGACATACGATACTTTACGTAGGAGGGGTCGACAAGCAGCTGCGTTTAATGCCTTTTTTGAAAGTGAACTGATTTGGATGTTGGATCGGTCGAGCGGGCCGATTCCTTGGCCAGCACGATTTCCAGATTTAACGTCGTGCGATTTTTACTTATGGGGGTATATGAAAGGTTTAGTGTATGAAACGCCCATAAATTCAATAGACGAGCTTAGGCAGAGGATAATTGACGCAGCTGGAGAAATCAAGGCAACAATAACCTCGCGGGTGACAAAAACTGAAGTGCGCAAAACATTACTAGGAATGTATTAGGAATCGAGGTTCGCATTTTGAGCAGGAATGATTTTGAAATTGAGCGTTATTGATTGTTATATGTAAACATGTCTTTATCATTTTCTCTCTAATAATTACGTTACCGTAAAATCAGGTGTAATAAACTCACACTCTGTTCGCGATTTTCTGCACTGTTGTATTAGAAACTTTAACATTGTAATTAACATTTGTACCTTTTTAAATAGGTAAGAATACAAGAAAGTAGTTTAAGCAATTTGTACACTTCGTTACATACATTTTTTTTACAATGAACCCCATTTAGTAAGTACTTGGTACTTGGTGTAACGGGCTGGCGTCCGCAACTCGACGTCAAGGCGCCTATTTTGCGTGTAAGTAAAAAAGTAAGTAAAAATTATTATTTTTAAGTATCTCTCTATCATTTTTGAAATACCATAATTAATGTAACAGTTATTTCGTGCCATCTTGTTATTAAACAATAACTTTGATTTTGATTCAATATATACAAGATAAAGCAAAAATAAACAAGAAATAGACATAAACTTTAAAGAAGAAAAAAATTACATCGAAAATCTGGATTTTTAACTAAAAACCTAAAATTTTTAATATCTTCGAAAGTACTCATTTTTTGGACAGGGTATCACATGACTAAATTTATTTCAAATTAAGTCTACTTTCAGCCCTTAGAAGGAATGTATCGAGTTTCAGGTCACCCTGTACATATATATATGTGCCGTTTATGTACTGCATTTGATATTTACCAGCCAGTGGTGGCTGCGCATCGGGCTGGCAACTACTGCAGTAACACCGCACTTGTCCCCAACATACCGCTTGTCGAAGCTCCGGAAAGGGTAGCACCAGAAAATGCCAATACTTGAGAACTAGGTGCAAATGTTCGCAGCTTTCCCCTGAAGCCTCCCATTCCGCTTCCAGACTTTGCCCCTCTGTTCCGTCTTGATCCAAACATAGTATACGATTCAAATAATTTAAATTTTCCACGGACAACGTCTCCGACCAAAAATCGTCGCGGCGAGTTGATTCGTCGAGCGAAGACGACTGCTCTTCTGTTAAATCAGGTAGATTTCCCGTCTCCAAAGTCAAAGCGTCCATGATTTCATTATCCAAACTATCGACATCATTCGCCTCGGGGTAGCGATCGTTATGCTGGATGTTGGTGTCGAAGTTCTCTTGCACGTCGAAGAAATCGCCAGTATCGCCAAGGCGCGAGTCCAAGCTCATTGAATGCTTCAGTGCTTCTTTTATTTCCGTTTCTAATGTCAGCTCATCAGTCGTTTGGCAGAAACTTTGAGTAGAGTGACTTTTTGGAATACACCGGTTAACAGCATCATTGTTCACCTGGCCAAGAGGGTAAGCCGGGGGGGCGCAAAAAGTGGCCCTCTCAGCCAATAATAAGCTATGATGCAACGAAAGTAGATTCGGAAAGTTTCTGGGATTGTTTTCATTATTTATAAATTCATTGTCATTTGGAAGACACATAGGAAGTGGTTCAGAAGTGCTGGGTCCGGCTAGCACCACGAAGGGTTCTGTTATATCATTAACTAGACTGTCTTGGCTGTAAGCTTTAGTTTTGCGCCTGGAGCGAGCTTCTTGAGAAGGTGGTAGACTCAAAGTGAACCGTGCACTGTCGTCGTCATCCAGCTCAAGCTCCGCCAGTGATTCTTCGTGAAGATTTTCTGTAATGATCGGTAGATCTAAAGACGCACCATTGCCGACCACGTAGGGGTGGAGTAGTATCGAAACCTGAAACCAAGGTTAAATTTTTTGGAAATTTGGAAATTGAAATGAAATGAATTAAGGCTTATATTTGAAATTTTGTTTGATTATGTACAGTCAACAGCACATGTAGCTATTTACTTTTGTTCGAATATCGTCTCCAGAGCAACGGAACAATCTGTCAATGTTTAGCTTGATATGCGACCGTCCGTAACTTTTGTTGCAGAGCAACCACGTCGGAGAACTGTATCGACAAATATTCGTATTAAGAAAGCGACGTAAATTTAAGTGATTTGGTACCGCTGCTGTACTAGTGTCAACGCCGTCTTTATATCTCAGAATCTATAAGATATTCAAAAAATTAATAATGAACATTCACTATGTTCTGACTTCTATAGTTATGGCACTGAAACAACAATTGTTTAACTCGCCGTATATTTGAATATACGGCGAGTTAACATGTGTTTTTAATCTTTGAAGATTAAAAACACATGTTATATGGTATATTCTGAATGATTCAAACTTAAACATGTAATTATTATGCTCACATGAAGACATGATTACATAATCGCAAGTAGATAAAATAATATACTAATTTTCACTGAAAATAGTTTAAATAATGTTCAACATTGTTTACTTTATAGCGCTACATACACGTTACCGATGCTCCTTTCAGACGTGGTGGCGCTTCGGAAATGATCCGAGCTTTTACAATCTTAAGAGGAAGTTAGGAAAACTTACCTGTGACACTTTCCCATAAAGGTCTATGAGCGGGAAGACATGGTTGTGGATGCGAGAGATGGTGGCAATGGCACCAAGCACACGACCGTCTAGCTCAACAACAAGCTCACTATTCAATCTGAAGTGCAGCGTCAGCACCGAATTTTCGACCACTTCATTCAACGCCGCTGCAAACTTCATTTCAGGATATCTCTAGAATATATACAACAAGTACACGTTTAGTTTAACTTGAAATTGTACAAAGTAAACTGCAAAAATTAATTGGTAAAACACTAACAATGTTTCCGTTATCTCGCAAAATTTCCGCGTTGACGACCCATACGCCAGGCGGTTCGAGTAGGCTGGCACAGAACGGGAGAGACTCTGGCCCCGCTGGAAGCGTACCCACCGCACCGATTGAGACGCTGCCGTACCATTCCATAACCAATTTGTCCACACGAAACTATAACAAAATATATTTTTCTAAACTCATATCCTACTTACAACAAGTTACAAAAACTGACCAACTCACAAAAGATTATTTATATTTCTGACTCTTACAAAATCGTTTTACCATTAAATATACTGTATACAAGTTGAGTAACCAACGAATGCATGAAATGTAAATAAAATATTCCACAACGCACTCCAAAAATTAAAATAACAATTCAGTACAATAAAATAAATAGGTAAATCCGAATAAGTTGATGTTGTTAAGCTGAAGGTTCCTCAGAATAGTCCTCAGTGGTGTAATGGTTAAGACTGTGATTGGCACAAGATAGGTAAGTCTGGGGTTCGATTTCCTATACGGCCAATTAGGGACATGAACCTCTCTTAATTGTTTTTAACCGACTTCAAAAAAGGAGGAGGTTCTTAATTCATCTGTATTTTTTGTATGTATGTTACACGATAACTCCGGGGTTTCTGACCGATTTTGATGAATCTTTTTTTTTGGAAAGAGGGTACCTCAGTGATGGTCGCATTTCAATTCAAAGTAAAATATTCTACCTCTAAGGATGGCAAACCAGGAGATGAATCCGGTATCCCGCACTTTCCGGCAACCGATTTCAACCAAACTTGGCAAATGATAACGCACACTCGCACACACTCAACCTAGCCCCACACTAGGGAAAACCTACGTTGCAGGTGCCATGGACACACACATAGACAACCACAAAATACACCCATACTCACGAGAGAAATAAATGTAGGCCATACAAATATTTCTCCCGGCCCGGGAATCGAACCCGGGAATTATGAATAGATGTAATTTCACGAACTTTTGAGGTCGGTTTTATTATTCCTTGCCTGGGTGTTCTGATCAGGGCCCCAGAGGTAATTTCGTTGCTCTGGTACTCATAGTACCTGGAATTTGTTAGTTTGAGACCAGGCAGTTGGTGTGCTTATATGGCGCTATTATTATATCTCGTGATAATGGTATATCCCATCTTAAATTTCGTTTGATACCACAATAATTTACAACAATAGACATGCGAAACACAGACGATAATCGTATAAGAAAAATCTCTATTTTACTGTATCGAGGCGCTTCAAGTAATTTCCCTATTTCCACCTCGCACTTCGCCTCCAGCGAAAAGAATACAGCGCAATGTGTTTGTCATTCGGCTAATACAACGGCTAAATACAACATTACCGATCGCATTATATCCACAATAAACAAGACAAATGGAAAAATGTAACATAAATTATTTAAGATCATGTGTTAATTCTGGTTAAAAAACAAAACAATTCAAAACAAAATTTTGATTATATTTTTTTATATATTTTCTTTCTTTATTTGTGTTCAAATTATCATAATCTATAATACAAAAGTCATACATAACATATTTCTTAAAGCACACACTCGTAACTTCGCAGTAGGGTAGCCCCGTATCGCGGGTACCATGGACACACACAAAGACAATCACAAATTACTGCGAAACAAATAACAGAAATAAATGTAGGCCATACATATATTTCTCCCGGCCCAGGAGTCGAACCCGGGACCTCTGCGTAGCAGACTAGACAGTTGACGGAAGCATTGACATTGGATCAAACAATCGCACAACAGTAATACAAGAATTTGCATGTAAGAAAATGAACATTTTCACAAGATTCGCTGTGCTAAATGTTATACTTTCGACAGCGAAATAAAACATCTAATTAGAAAAGTTTGATAAAACTTTTTGGAAAATAAAAAATATGTGGTGTCCCTACCGTAAGGCATCAACATTATAAAAGTGATCATGCTAACTAAAAATATTGGCAGTGTCAATAACTGCCAATATTTTTGGACTGCGTGACAATTATCTCGTCTGAATATAATAACTAAAAACAATTAAAATAATAAAACTATATCATTTTAAAGTAGTTACTTTTTATTTTAATAAATAAGTTTGTCTAAAACATATTTACACAGAAAATATTATAGAAAGTAACTTCAACATATGGCGCTTACTAAACTTTAAAAACTGACTCTTACGTACAAATACTTGCGGAATTTTTGAAACGTCATCTCTTCGCGCAATATTGAACTATGTACTTAATGTACACCTTAGTGAACTTAAACAACACTAATTAAAAACGTCACATCATATCTCCATAATTCATTTGTGCAAATGGATAAAATTTAATTAAATTCAATTACAGATACATTCACTCGCAAAATAATACAGTAACACATTTAAATGGAAGACATATTGACAGGAATTTTTTAGTTTTTAAATTATATCGCTATGACGCGTATCTTTGTGATTTAGCTTCAAACAATAATTCCTGAACAACTTACCCTAAAGTTGTACCCTCTGCGGAGTGGCTGACTCACTATGGCGATACCGTGATGATGTTCCTTGACCCTACATGCCACGGTGTCTGAAAAAATTGCACATATAAATGTATACATGCAAATGAAATAGATTATGACTATTAGAAGTTACATCTTTTGCAATGTCTTTGTTTAAAAGTTAGCAATAATATATTAGAAGTACAGTACCTTTACCATGAGTTTATAGTCACATTCATCGCTAGCGACCGGGTAGAACATTTTATGTGAAAATGTTACTTCTTCTTGGGACCAGTAGAGGGCACTGTAGAATTTGGCATATAAAATTGTCAAATACTTCACACGATCGCTAGCGACAACTGCCATATTAAGCTCATCGTAGAGGTACAGGCCTCGTCACGTAAAGTTAGCGAAGATCGCAACTGTAAGTTAGCGTGTATTGACAAATCTGTTCATATACAGCAGCAACATGTTCGCTGGAACAATTTCATTGCGTCACTTTGCTGAAGCAACAGTCAGATTGTAGTAAAAAAAACAGCCACTGACTACAATAGAGAATATAATATATTAAATATTGCCTTAAATGTTTACTTAATTTTAGTACTAGTTGTACAGTATAGATGGCGCTCACTAAGTTTTATACAGATTGTCTGTCCATATCGATTTATAACTACAAATTAAAAATATTGAATATTTTAATTTTATGGCAATTGAATGCCAACTTCTCAACTATTTTAATAGCTGTCATTCAATGGTCTTAAGTATGCAAAAATGCGAATGTATGTGTGCGTGTTGTATTTCTGTACATAGGTTTAAGTACCTGAGCTGCATAGTTTGATGTTAGCTCCATGAACGCAATGGAAAGTGTAAGGCAGAGAGCGAGAGCGGCGTCTTGGCGTTTCGGCCGTCACGGTAGCACCAGGCTCAATGTTGCTATCGGCGGCTGCATCAGCGTTCTCATTAATCACCGTGACTGGTTCACCATCCGCCAGCGGCGCCTCAGGTGCCGTAGGCGCGTCGGCTGCCTCCAGAGACTCTCCATTAGACGACTCAACACCATGCGTTTGACCATTGCACAAAACAACGCCATTTGACCCATTATTGCTCAAAGTGTTCGATGATAGTTTCTGGTATTCATCATTGGGAACTAAAACATAAAAATCAAAATTAATCAGTGTTTTATAACATATGTTAAAGTAACAATATGTTCTACAAAAATATTGTTACTTGTTGTCTGGGGCAAGGCAGCACCGACATTGGTTCCCCTCGATACAGATTGTATTTTCGTAACATGGCCAAATATTTCCATGACGACATACACTTTCTGCAATAAAAAATACAATCAAGTGAATTATGATCAGACCACGAGCAGCTTTTGATAAAATTACTCGTACGCATATCATGCCTTCTCCTACCCAGTCATAAATTACATTAGGCATTTTTTTAGGATAACGTAGTTATCAGGTACTAGCAGCGTCGATGTAGCTCATGTCAATCTCGTTTTATAAGTGAGTTATATATAAAAAAGGTAGACATATTATGACTAATGTAAAACGTTCGCTTTTGAAAGCCAAGTAAGATAACGAGACGGCGGCCTCACACAATCTGTGATTTTATGGATTTCCTCGCAAAGCCGATGGCCACGGATAGCCATACACGACCCCGCTCTTTTCATATTGATATTTAACCAGTTACAGAATGTCAACCCATCGCCACAAACCGGCCCTATCCATTTTTCGCTATGCATTGAATCCATGCACTATGAACGCGTCTGCAATACCACGCACAAGTCTCTTCCTATGTGGGGCTTTAGGGAAGTTAAAAGTAAAATCACAATCTTTATTTGGCTACTACAAAAATGTCAAATACTACTACTAACTAGTCAGGATAAGACACAATGTAATGCATTCGACAATGACGCAACTATTAGGCATAAACAATTAAGCGAACCCGTAGGTCACCTGAACTTACACATTGTGTTACAAAACCTACAACGGAATAATAATATCAATAAGCTATATATACTCACATCAGGCACGTTTTCAAAGCTGACGTCTAGGCACTCAGAGTTAAAATAGACAAGTACGCGAGAATCATTGGTCTTTTTGAGACCAATGCGGTCGCCGGGCCTTAGCCACTCGAACGACGGCACGAAAGAACGCAACTCCTGCTCGCGAGCACCCGGCTTCGAATATTTTATGTACTTTCCTGTTGAAAAATATTCATTTATAACGAATGCTAATGAAGATTACAATATATAAAACTGAAATCTCTAAATATATGTATAATAAATCGCGATATAAAATTTAGGTCGTGGGAAAGACATGAAAATAATTTAAGCGCGCGAAATAATAATAACAAATTCCCTACATTACCTTACTAAAAGCTGTAATTTTAAGAACTTTCAAATAAAGCGAAACTAAAAGAAAACAAAATGGGGCTTTAACATGAACTCTTATTACGATTCAGTTTAGGGCCTAAAATGAATCGTAGTGAGACACCGCTACATGAAGTGTATATCACCATCCCGCTTTTTTGTCGTTACGAACCTATACTGAACTGTAATAAGAGTTTATGGTAAGGCCGGTTCTCATTGCAGCACACCGTCAACATAGATGCGTACCACACTGATTTTACTTGGTTCCCACTTATTTGAGACATTCACAGCCCATATTTGTTAGTAAAGAACGTACTTAAGCTAGTTTTCTTTTTATCATACAAATGACAAACAAGTAAGCGACACGCCAGTCCCTATCAGTTGCAATGCCACTCAGAGCATTAAATCACAAAGATCTGAGGGGCACTGTCCCTGCGCCAGTCACCCTGAGACACAAGTCCCATGTGCCTGTAATATCAATGGCACTCTTACCCGTCAAACTCAGAACGCATTATTGCTCACATTACTGCTTGGCGACGGAAATATGTATGTAAGGTGGCAACACTTTCCTGGACGAGCTCTTTCGCGAGGAGCTCTTCTACTACTAAAAGCGTTAGTTTTAAAATAATTAGACATCTACTAGGTGAGAGGACAACATGTCAGGGACAAAGCTTCGGATTGACTTTTGATTGAACGCACCCTCTGCCCTGTCATTGGGAGTAACGAAAAGTTCTAACCATACTTCCATTGACGATTACATGTTTGCATTTTTTTTTAAATAATCGATTGTCTTTACCCCTTTTAAATGTAAGTAAACATGTATGTGGGACCAATATTAGCCAGTAAAAAATTGCTTGTAATACCATCGATGTACGCTGTGTAATGCGGCAGGCAGGCTACTGAAGGTGGAAAACTTCGGTTCACATGCGCGTTCAGAATGTTTATGTCCGTCACACCCATGCGGAAACTGCCCGAGTAGCCGTACTTGCACTCCGTTATCTTTACCTGTGCCAACACGAGTGAAATGGCTGCTACATAACTGGATACGTTTCAGAAAACTTCAAGATATTTGACATTTGAAATATTTATTATAGTAATACTTGGGTTGATCCCAGTTATTTAATTTAAGATCATAACTAAAGGCATTTTGGACGAACTAACCTCAAATATTTCTCCAACGGCAAGATGAGCGGAACTGAAGCAAATTGCACCCATTGGGTCACAAGTCAATCGTCGCGCGTAGGAGTAATCGTGCATCAGACAAATGTTGTCACCACAATACTCGGAGAAACTCCTATAAATTTAAAGTTGGAAACAGTTTATTGCAGGCTTTATTTATAAATTAAAATTAAAATCTAGCAAGAAATAAATAATATAAATTGAAATTAAAATCCTGAATTATTTATTTGTCTAATGTAAGAAATTCGCAAGATTTGTTGTGGTGAGCATCAAATGGTGATCGCTCAACGAGAGAATAAATGCTTCTTCTTTAGTTGTCGAATTGTGAATTCGACAGAGAATCCCTGTGGCAGCATGCGCCTATGACATTTGAACGTTTGATATCAATGCAATTAGCCTGAGGCTAAAGAGGAAGGAAAATATTAAGATGATTGCATGTCCAAGGAGATTCATAAACGACCTTGGAAAATGTGTGAAGTGCATGGCCTAAAACACTTTCTCTTTCTCTTTAGAGCAGACCCATGTCCAGCAATGGGACCTACAATGAAAATGACAGTCAAAGACTCGAGTATAGGATTCGCTTACCAATATGGAGGTGGCGGCGATGCGATAGCACGAGAATTGCTCAACAGAGAGTTGTCAGAGTTTGTGCAACCATTATAGTTGAATGCCCTCTCTTCGTTTTGCAATATCGTTACCTAAAATAAAAATTTAATCATTTTGCGAAAAGACTGGAACAGGTGATTGATTCAAACACGAAAATCTAAATAGGAACTTAAATAAAATTTCCCATTCAAAAGAGCTTGTCAGTCAATAGCGTTTTCCATCCACATAATAATTATAAATTTTACTCGAAAGCTATTGACTTGGTTCACAGGAACGATGTATCTTTGTAAATAAGTGTACTTTTGATATCTAATGCAGGGAGGGTGTTTCCAAGAGTACCAGACCGGTTTTTTTTAATACCTGAGTGCATTGCCCGTAGAGATCAACAACGGCATATATGTTGAGATGTGGAACGTACCACGCCTTGCCCATGTCCATACCGTCCAGGTAGTAGTGTAGACTTCGATCCGCGTGCCACATCATGCCTACAAATGTAAAACTTCAGTACATGAAGGCCCTTCAGAGGACGAGCCTTTGAGGGACTAGTTTTTCTTTAGAAATATAAAGACGTAATGTTAATCATACATCTTCTGAAATCCCTTGTAGACACAAGGGCGTTCAGAAGATACATTTATCGACGACAGCTAAGAATAACCGGTTATATGTAAAAATCACGACAATTTACAGTAGAGGGTTTTGAAAGTAAAAACTTGAGAGAATAACACGTATAATATGCTTAATATCCTTCAGATATTAGCTTTTTATATTATCTTATTACTGAAAATTTTAGATGTTACGTCAGAAAATCAAGTTTTTACTTTGAAAACGTTCTACTGTAGTCTTGATTTTACAAATAACGGGTTACTCTTTTGGTTATCGATATACGACCTATATAGTATGTACATTGTAAATAAACAAGTAATTTTTTTTTATTTAGGTATAAATCCATTAATAGTTTACCATTACCATTGCCAAACTGACCATATATCATTTTTGTTACATAAAGGTTAAGAAAATTCTCCAAGAATTCCTTCAAAATATGTCCTACGATGATACAGAGAATTTATTAATTATCCCAAAATAAATGTTGTCTAATTTAAGCGTAATAGGCATATGATTTGCATTTGATTGTTTAATTTTTATTTTATATTTTACACATTTTTCTGTTTATAATTTAATCATCATATGTATATATCATATAATCACCTGTATAATTAGTATTTTTTACCTGAAATACAGGATTCTCCTAGTTCAGGTATATGTGTTATATTTTACATTTATTCGTATAATTAGTCTTTCGTTTTTCATTTGTAGAATACGTTATTCAATAAACAATTTTATTATTATTATTATTAATATTATTGCAATCCATTAGATTATTTATTATAAAAGTGACATAAACAACAATGCCCAAGTTCCATACACTACTAACGTTCTCCGTCAGAAACAATTACTGTCAAAATAAGTAATACTCGACCTAATTCTTAGACTATGGAAACTAAAAGACATGTTATGTTGACATATATAAATCAGACGTTATGATGCATTTCGACATTGAAAACATAAACATGTTATTGTATTTGTTTAACTCTTGCGTGCCGTCTTAAGCCAAAAGAGATAGCATTACATTGGTCTGTGTCAAACACGGGAATTCTAATACTAAACTTTACTATTTTTTAAAGCCAGCAATACAAAGACAATGTTGGTCTCAACGCTGCCGGGTGAAGGCCAATACCAACGTATAGACAGCCTATCCTTGCCTAGCCTTGCCTTGCCTTGACTTGCCATCGTTCGGCGTCACTCGCCTAGCTGACCGAGTGAAGGAGAGCACTAACGTGTATAGAGCTCGTTTGATGTAGCTTGTCACAACTCGCAGTCGCTCGTGACTACGTCTTACTTCGGAGAAGTGTCCATTTTTCTGCACAAATCAACGGCGCTCGGCCAATAGTAGTCAATTGACATTGTACAATCAGACATTTGCATGCTATTTAATATATGCGAAACATGTTTATACTAACACTGTCTCTTGTTACATCTCCTGCTATACCATGTTTTAAGCAAATAAACGTATGTTAATAATATTATTATTGATAATATTACTACTTTCATTTATTTCCAAAATTAAATGAAGTATTAAATATTCACTTAAATCAGTCAATTATATTAATTGTATACCAATGCATAAATACAAAAAGCTTACACTATTTGGAATCAGTTTAAAAATTTCTCTATGAAAATATGAATCTTGAGGTTGGAAATGTATAAGATTTGTATTTCAAAGTTTTCTCTTTTTTATATATACTCTCAAATTACAAATATTAATTTTTTTCTTTTCAAATTCAATTTTTTTTAATATTAACGGAAAACAATAAATTCAAAATTTTATGTGACATTCCCGGATATTCCCATATAGCCTAACATATTCCCAAATGGATATTGATCTACTTTAATAAAATGTTTGCATGTCGATAATGACTTTGCTTGTCGATAATGACTTTGCTTGTCGATAATGACTTATCGATAGATTATGGTACGACACTAAAGAAATACGCCATATTTGTTCGTTTAATTTCTGTTAGGTATGCACGTTTATTCCGTAGTTAGGGCTGCTCCTTTCTTTTAGTTTTTTTTCCATCCTCTAAGACCTAATAAGAAGCCATTGTCAAGTATGAAGCTTCTATTTTATTTCTACTTTATACATTATTACTTCGATTTGACAGTTTCTAATTATACAGGGATTTATATTTTTTAACCAGGGAAAGTTCATTCAAGCAACATTTTCTTTTTATGGTTATCTTTATAATGAACATTGTTGCGAACGCAACAGAATTTTTGTTATAAAATTTAATATAACTTTCAATGCACTAACTAAATGCTCGCCAAGGGCACATTCCGTAGGCATCTAATATGAACCAATCAACTAACACCACATACATGTTATTTCACCCTACCACAATTTATCAAACTTTTTGTGTGGTTAAAAAAGACGTTCACTTTTGGACTGTACTTCTATAAGAAACCACCACTGTTTAGCGATTAATGGCACTACTCCTGTAAACCAGCTACCTATTGCCAATATATTACAGTCAACTTAAATCGTCTTTTAATTTTACAAGCTCGTCGAGATCCTCATCATCTTCTACTTGGGTCTGGCGGCTACAAACGTTAATATGTTACTTTGTAGTACAGAGTTAAATATTATTTTAAGACAATTATATTGGGTCCACATGAAAAGTTATGCTTAGATTCACTTCGACAGACGAATGAGATAAAAAAGGACACGATTTTTTAAAAATACTTTAAAAATTGAATATGTTGTTAGCATTTATTTTAGAACGCAGCACAACTCTGATTTTGACATCACATCTTCAACTTTCTGACCATTTGAAGTTGAGAGTCAAGTTCAAGTTAAGGAACACTTATCGTTGTCATAATTATTGTAGCTTTCGTACATAAGTACTCCAAGTTGAAATTAGTTGCTAAAGAAATCATGACAAGTGTAAACGAGCCTTAAAATAAAATATCAAAAGGTAAATCGTGTTATGTTCCAAAACAAATATTTACAATGCCTTACATATATTTTACGTATCTCTTAAAATACTTTACAGGAGGAAGAAAAAAATTGTTTGCATCATTTATACAGCATCTGGTTTATTAAATAAAAATACGTAGTTTTTAAATATTTTTATTACACATGTATGTCTGTACACTACGTATTTTTATTTCATAAATCAGATAAATGAGTTTTTGCTTTACCCCGTAAAAGTAGTAAAAATTTACGTAGTACCGGTTGCCAGTTCACAGAATATATAGTATATGTATACTGTATTTATTATAATATTGGCTGATTCGCTCACTCGCATATGGTTAAAGTCTTCTTCTCTATTCACACCAAATATAACAGATGCACTACATCGCCAACGTAGGCGCAGGATAACAAGAAACGGATTATTGTACTGTACTCTGAGTAAATCTTCAGGCCTAAAGCTAACGAGATAATTGAACTTACCGACGCGACTGCCAACAGTAAGCGTGTCGAGATCGAGGGGGTAGCCGCTACGGACACACTCGCCGTCTTTCATCATGGCGGCTCCGCTCAAGATGTATGTGTCCCAGTTTAGATCTGTGGCCGTCCCAGCCACTGCGCCCACCCCGCCGTTAGCTTCCAGGTCGTCAGGGCGAATTGCAGTTACCCCTGATATATCATAATTTTTATAACATAAATGATTTCGTACAGAACTATAATCGATAGATAAATATTACCTTTATATATCAAAACTTCAACACTTCACTTTAAAACTGCAACTGAACTTTTAAGCCACATAACAAATTGTACAATTGAACCTGATATAGTATGTTGAAACAGGTCACACGCTCCAAGGTCAGTGCGTGTGGTTTGTCGGATAAAAGTGAGTGACAATGGTAACTCCACAAGCAATAAAAATGAAGGTGGTCGTCGACAGCGAAAAAGGGTAGACAGATATGTCTGTTTTTAACAAATAAAACCGAAATAATCTTTATTTCATACGTAAGCATTATTATACTTGAAATCGTCAAATTGGTTAAACTCTACCGTTCATTCGTAAGGATGATTCCCCTGAGAATAAACTCTAGGGATAGCTCTTAAAGCTGTGATCTGTCGCTGACCAGTCAACCCGTCATCATGGAACGTGTAACCGTTCCGAAATATATAGAAAATAAAAAGAACTCGACCATCCACGATAGCCTTAAAATCTACATTTGTGTTTTGTATTTTTATTACTTTAAGTTAAGTATTTACGTTTAAATAGGTCGTAACTGCAAGAACATTTTTACAAACCGATTTCAAGGCTGCCGATCCAGCAGTCAACCATTTTGTCGATGCGAAGTTCGAACATGTCACACTCGCGTAGAGGCCGCGAGCTGAAGAGTACAGCGTCGTTGAACTCCGAATAGACGGTGGCGCGTGACGCCGTCAGCCGGTTACGACTGAGTCGCGCGTTACGACCATGCACCCGATGGAAACACATGTCTCTGTATGAAACATTTATAAGATATTATCACACATTTCGTACCTCCGTGATGCTAAAATCCTGACTAACATCTATAGGGCTTCACGTTTAGCGCTTCTCCCATTGTAGTACTCTGGTCTAAGAGCAGTTACAATCGGTGACTTTTAGTAGCGCGTCTGCAGCAATTCAGTCGCGATACAGTAGCGATGCTGTCGCTAATGGTCTGCCTTGCTGCGACACAATCGCGATGCAAATGCGATACAAGCGCGATTCAACATAAGCGCTAGCATCGATGCAGTCGCGCGTTAGCATCGATGCAACCGCCTATATAAGTCGTAAGTTCACAAACGCGCGCTTGTATCGCTGCTGAAAGCCGCCATGTGTAACCTCTGTTAGGAGAATATATATTGCGGCTTCTCAACGCGTGGGCTTAAAACACTGAGAATAAGCGAAGCATGATGCGATGTCGTACGTACGAAACAACACTTAAAGCGCACTTTTGAACATTCCGCTTTGGATCGAGGCACACCTTTAATTTATGTAATCTAAATCAAACAACTGCTTTGCATAGAAAAAATGTTATTATTTGGAACTTAAGGAAAGTTAGTTAAATAGCTTGGGACCCCATATGCTCAATTATCCGCGTAATAGTATCTCAAAATCACAATAATCTTCAGACTCACGGGTAAATGGTCGCGTTGGACTCAGTAGATAGCGGCGACTCCGGAGAGTACACTGGTGGTGGAGAGTACGAATCCACGATGGTTGCTTGGGCTACACGCCCGTACAGATCTGTGCAACCGATTTATTATTCAGACAGATACATAAATTAAATTACCAAGTAAAAAGCAAGATTATGAAAGAAGTAAGTTTATGAAAATAATATACATGTGTACGTTACCCAGAACAGATCATAAGATACTCTATATCAAACGCACACAGTACTAAAACAGCCATTAAAATCGACCATAACTTTCCAAAATTCGTGTAAATTACTTGAAAATTTAAATTTAATATACATTTTATTATAATTTATCTACAATCACGTATACACCCTCGTTCGTGACTAATGTAAATGTTTATTCATGATACGAAATTATTACTCACCAATAATTCCAAAAACGTGTTCAGGAATGTTGAACGCGGCCGGCCCCTGATCAACTCCGTTCACAAAGAAGTGTAGAATGCCCATTTCTTTGCGCATCACGCCCACAGTGTCGCCCTCCTGTCATCATAACACCCACATCATATCACATGTGAAATATATATCAATAGTCTGTTTATATCAATAGAAAGCCAATCAAAATTAATTACCAATAATAAAGCTAAAAGAAAAAAAACAATAACATGAGCAAACGATAAGAATTTTATATTAAAAAAATATTATAATCATAATTTTATATGATAGTTCAAAGATTGTAGAATAAAGAATCAATTACCGAAACTTTATTGCCAGTCAAAACGAAATTAACGTTTATTGCAGTTTGATATCGTATTTGTTACTCAATTACGCCAATGTACTTGAGCAAACGATAAGTATCTTATATTAAAAAATACTATAGATGTATATCTGTGAAATATACTATAACAATCATTTCATATATTGTAGCATAAAGAATTAATTACTTGACAGGTTTGTTTGAAATTTTATTAAATAAGAACGAGATGGCGGACAGAAACTAGTATTACCTATTGAGGCAATAATTTCAGGTATAGTTCTTGATAAACAGTGTTCAGAATCAATAGGTTTTATACTTAGACGACTCTTTGAGATTACATACTCTCATGTCTAGACAGTGGATATAATTATATAATATACAATGAGTAGTGTATTGAGCTCTTTATAAAAAGAGCTCACATAGAGATACAATTTATCCTTAGTACCAAATGTTTGAAGGAATAAATATAGAATGCTGATAATCTATATAAATGACAATGATGTCGAGTTTAACCTAACTAAATAATTTAAAAAATATAAAAAAATCATTGTCATCAGTGCAATCTCACCAATGTGTTATCAGTCGAGTGGCGGGACGAACAAGTCATGCTCCTGTTGGTAAGCGACTCGTCTATCCTTAACGTAGCAGTGCCATTCAGAGCATTAAATCGCAAAGATCCTATGGGCACTGCGCCCGTCACCCTGAGACATAAGTTGACAAGTCTCATGTGCCTTTAATTTCACCAGCACCCTTAGCCCTTTAAACCGGAACGCAGTAATGCTCACATTACTGCTTGGCGGCAGAAATAAGAAAGGTGGCAGTACTTCACTGGACGAACTCTTTCACAAGGAGCTCTACTCCTACTGAACTGCTGGTCTGCCACACAGAGCTCCCGGGTTCGATTCCCGGGCCGGGAGAAATATTTGTGTGGCCTAAGTTTACATCTCTCGTGAGTTTGGGTGTAATTTGTAGTTGTCTATGGGTCGTATTCCAGAAATCATATTCAAGTCCTTGCCATTAGGGTCATATTTCCAGTGCTTTAAATCATACTCAAATCCTGACTTGAGCATTGAGTAGAGTTCTGGAATACGACCCTATATGTGTATCCACGGCACCCGCAACACAGGATTTCCCTAGTGCGGGGCCATAAATATGTGCGTTATTATATTCAGAACAAATCTCCCAGATTTTTTAGCAACCTACCATCTGCAAACTTTACGTCAAATTCAGCAATGAAATTGTAATTTTCAGTCTTACCATAAGTCTGTTAAGATTTCTAACATATTGTGGGATGATTATCGTCCCATCTCTGATTATGTCTTCACCGGTCATTGCCCAAGTGCCGGATCTAAAAGGGAAAACAACATTTTAAGATTTGACATTCCCACTATACATATTCATAATAACCAAATCACGCTACTTAAAGTTCGCGCGTCAAATTTAATTCGACCGACCTGATGATAAGATATTTTAAATAAGCAAGATTTATAGAGAAATTTTGGGCTAAATGTGAATTTAATAAATTTAACAGGCTCTATGTAGTACTCAAAGAGAAATATCTCCGTATAAAAATATCTCCATACAAAGTTACATATTTTATTCTTAAATTAGACTTTTTTAGAATGGTTTCTGGATTTTATATGATCGGATAACGTACATCGTATCGTAAAACAAATTACTACATTATTTAAACAAAATCCTTAGGTGTCTCGTATATTTTTTGTAAGATCGTTACTTAATAGTAAATTCTAAACATTTTGAACTAGCGAAACAATTTTTCCCGCTTCTCCTCCGGTGACTGACTACATGGCATGTAAACCCTGGTTCTGTTCAGTCAGATCAAAGAAATTTCTCAGTTTTGTTCCGTCTTCGTATCATAATAATAACAAACTAGTGACGTACTTTCACAAGAAATATATGAACATCATGGTAGTAAAACATTATAAAAATTCAATAAACAAACATTGCAATTAAACATTTCAAAAATCGGGCAGGCTTTTTAGCCGCAGAACAATAAGGAATAAAGTAAGTATACTAACTTCGCATTGCTCATTTTGAATGGAAACTGTATGTCTGAGGAGGAGTGCTGCGTGACCCCAATTTCAATGCTTCCGGCCCACTTGGGAATGACGAGATCTAGACGCACTTGGAACAACTCGTTCGTTCTTAGAGTGCGGTTCGTCATCACTATGCCGTTGTTGAAGTATTCGAAAGCACTAGAACAAATTCTACCGTGTTGTATGCAGGTACAGGTGAAGAGAATCGTTTTCTAACTAACAGTGGTTGTTTGTAATAGCTGATTATCAATTGTTTTTTATTGACAACCAAAAGCCAATTGTTACCACAATAAATCTTTTATCCACATGATATGTACAGGCAGCATCGAAATCAGGATTGCGTTCATAATCTTAATTATCTGAACACTTACTAAAAATCAACATTGGGATAAGGACACGAAAATGACAATTATTTTATGAATTCACCTTACACGAAAAATATTTAAGATGCTCTTTTTACTGAAACTGAAATTCGTCTTATTAACATTTTTGAGACGAGTTAAATTTTTAGAAAATGTTATCTGAATAACACATTTTTAAACTACTCCAATATCATTTTGACACTGACTGTACCTACCTTTTATCTATTTCTGAAGTATGTAAAATAGCCTAACAAAATTATTATTTTTTGTAATATGTATCTCAGTAGGCGGTCAATGGAGTCAGTAACGCGCGTGTGGCTGGCTATTCATCGAGGCATTCTGATCCCAACCTTAAGGTAGTTAATGTTGAATATAGCGGAACAATCATGATAGTATGATTAATATACGGTATATCTTTTAGTACGTTGTGGTGTAAAATATCTCGTTGGATCACAAGGAAGGAATGGACAATACAGCAAAGTAAAAGCACAATACCTATAGAACACGTGTGGATGAAAAAGAAGATCAGATATGGACTTGCACTATAAAGTGTAAAAGTAAATTTAAAGGTCACGCTCAGCCTGATTAAGGGCTACATTAAAAAAGGCCCGGCCGAAAGTAACCACGATGAATGTGTGTGTAGGAAGACATTGATACAAATGGAGTAAGCGATAGAAGCATGCATGTCAAGAGTGCATCAGGCGAAAGGTCTATAGGTTCTTCGTACACCATTGGGTAACTGTCGTGACGGTATACAAATATATTACACACACCAGCACATTTAGCGGCATTCCGTATTAAAAACGTCAAAATAATGCTTGTTTTTAGTTATTTACTTTTTTAATTTTAGTTCTAATTTGAAAAAAACATATACTGTCTTTTTTAATTTATTTGTTTTGATTTCCTACTAATAAAGGTCTGTTGAATAGTTCCATTCCATTTTGCGTTCTTGTAAATTTAGTTTTTTTTTCTGACCGTTTTTACTTTGCCATATATTTTTTTAATTCTTTAATTTATTTTTTTCCAATAAAGATTGAGTATAGCTGTACTCGATGTTAAGAGGTGTTAATTTAATTGCTACTTTATGTCCAATACTTAAATAAATATTTAAAAACAAACGTTAATATTTATATGATATATACATATATATTCTCACTTCTATATATATATCCCGGTGTGTGTATGTTTGTAAATATAGAAAATAAACAAACAATGATACTTACTTAGGCCTATGAGCAGTCTTACCATCATTAATAATAATAACATTCGAATCACGCAGCGTATGAAATAAAAGGCTATCCTCATCTATTCTAGGTCTAAACCGGCCTGTAAAAGAGGATTAAACAATATATAATAACAATGGAAAAGCAAAATCGGCTCGCGCAAGCTATGCAAGGACCCTTCGTGTAATAATAATGATGAGCATTACACAAAACTCACTTGGAGCAGGAAGATCAGGCGTTTCTACTGGCAATGGCAGGTTGTTGATGTTGCTATCCATATCCTCACAGGGATCCACTATTGAAACCTTAAGGAAAAACCGTTTTAAGTCAAACAAAAGAAAAAAAGTGGTGTCATACATTACAAAAGAGGAATGCAACCACTACTTTTTACATTAAATGGTTGTATGGGAGGCGTATATAGTAGATTGTACAACAAGTGCATAAAACGCGTCATTTTCCCCAAGACGAGTATATGGTGGATACTTAAGTCGAGGGTAAAACGGGTTTTATGAACGAGTTATACACTCTGCTTATCACTACGATTGGGAGAAAATTAAACAGCAATATTACAAATAAAAGATTATTTTCTACCCGTGACTCAGGTCGGACTACATAATGCTCTATTATATTTTACAAGTTTTTATTTTTTATGCATTTCTATTTTTTATAACTTATTAGAACTACAATTGCCTACTTTTTAAATTTTGTAATACAACAGGGATTACAAAAATAAAAGCATAACTTTATTTTATAAAGTTGCTGTTGCGTGGCTGTTGGTTCAGGCGATGGCTTCGATCCTAAACGACGATTTTATTTTATGCACTAGAGCATAAAATCCTATTTTATGCAGCCTACACACAGCATAAATGCGAACTTTAAGAGCATGAGAAGTGAAAAGTAATTATAAGTGCTACAGAAACCAAAATGAGTCAGACACTTTAATATATTTTTCAACGGTAGCAAGACGGGACGAACAAGTCTAACGCCTGGTTGTAAACACGTCTTTCCATAACAATTGGTCGTCATAAGCTGAGACATATGTTGACAAAGCTCATGTGCCTGTAATTACAACCTACTGCTTGGCGGCAGAAATATACAAGGTGGCAATGTTTGCTCTTTCACAAGGAGCTCGGCTGCTACTAATTCAATTTTAGATTCAAAATGCAGTTACATTTTACCCTCAAAAAGGTAAATATAGTTATTTTATAACGTCAAGTGACGACGAGGACGAATAATAGACGTGCGCCTGGTGGTACGCTACACGCCTGTCCATAACCGTTGCAGTGCTACTCAAAGCTTTAAATCGCAATGATCTGAGGGGCACTGCCACTGCACCCGTCATCCTGAGACATAAGTTTACAAATCCCATGTGCCTGTATTTCCACCAGTAATCTTACCCTTCAAAACCGGAACACAGTAATGATGACATTACTGCTTGGCGGCAGAAATAGGTAAGGTGGCAGTACTTCCCTGGACGAACTCTTTCACAGGGAGCTCTGCCGCTACTTAAGTTGAAAAGAATATCTATTTATAGTCGCTTAGTAAACACTGAAGTAATTTCAAATTTCAAAAAAAAAAAGAGAGTGAAAACACTGCATGTAGTATTGTATACAAGAGTTTTTAAACTATTGTTACTAATGGGGGCTCTATTGATTATTGTATACAAGAGTTTTTAAACTATTGATACTAATATGATATTGATAACAAATAATTGTATGCGTGTTAGTTCTATCAATTATATTCATATTTTAACTTGAGTAAGTAAAAACCATCAATTTACGACTTGAACGGTGTGGTTTTCTCAACGACTTACATTTATTCCTGTAAGAACGATGTAAATAAATAAAGCTTACTTTAACAGTCATCCCATATAAATCCACAACAGCCCACACAGTTTGATCCACCTTGTCAGTGGCGACACCTTGATCCACACCATTGATAAAGTAATGTAACTTCCCATTACCTTTCCTCATTAATCCAACAGTGTCACCTTCCTAAAAGCAAAGCTTTTATTTTTGATTTCTGCTTGTATTTACAAGGTACATAAAAGTGTGGAAAAACCACACATAACCGATTCAAAGTAACAATTAAATCTAATAATTTAGCATACCCTTAACTCATCCAAATTAAAGTTTCCATACTCCATACAAGTCCCGTGTCCATTGAGTAGCACTTTACAACCAGACATCATAATAGTACCCGAATCCATGTTAGTCATTGTAGAAGGGAATCGGATTGTTGCAGGGTTATGTGTTGTTACTCCCACCTGAAATACCACTCTAGTTAGTGGTGATTAATCACAGATATTGCACTATATGCACATAAAAACTCTTGAATTACCATGACAAAAAGAATAAATAGCAAAATAGCTCATAGCAATTTAATCTCTGGGTCTCATGTTATTGGATTGTTACTTTGCAATAAGCGAACCACAAACACGTCTGACAAAGCAAACCTCTATGCTGCCACTCCATTTGTCCACCAGTCTATCGATACGTATCTCAAATAGCTCGTTGTCGTACAAAGGGCGATGCGTCATCACCACTCCGTTGTTGTAATCATCTAACGGCCTCGCTCTCTCTGCAGACCTGACAAATAACATTATACGGCATTTAATCAACTACATTACATGTCATTTGATGATCCCGCGAGTATAGCGAGTATAGTGTCTTCGCAATGTTTCTACAATATCTTAACCTATTTTTCATGCCACATCCTCAGACACTATCCATCTCCAGTGAGAGAGTAAAATCTTTATTTTTGCCTACTAGGTAATGTTTAATTTATTAGGGAAATTGTTTTGATCTTGGGTGACATAGATTGAATTCTAAACTAAGCTCGGAATTCTTCTTTATGAACTGATTCAGAATTCTGTTTTTTAATTAAATTTTTATTGAATTGATATTCAATTCTATTTTGTGAAATTACTCCACTAGTTGGTTATAATTATTAATACAAAGATCGAACACTCAGAAAAAATTCCTTCGATCCGGTCGGATTCGAACCGACGTCTTCTTGCATACCGTGGCAGACGCTATACCAACTAAGCCACGGAACGAACCAACGGTCCTCACGAGTTTTTCTATGTGCTTGAGTCGTGTCTTTGTATTTGGTTTTTCAACGACTTTTTAGTCGTAGCGCCATCTATGAGAAATCTATGAAAGATTTATCACCCAGTTAGTACCTTTACAGCTACCAGTCCTGGCGAGAGATGTCGCTATTCACTGTATTAATTAAATTTTTATTGAATTGATATTCCATTCTATTTTGTGAAATTACTCCACTAGTTTGTTATAATTATTACTTAATACAAAGATTGAACACTCAGAAAAAAATACTTTTTTCGATTCTGTTTTTTAAGTTCAATACATCGCATGTGCAGTAAATACACTATTTTACTCCCTTGTAAAATAATCTTCTATTTAATTTAGGTATATGAAACCCTTATAATATTATTACTTGTTATTTGCTGACAGCTTAACTAATATGCCACATCGTGGGTGAAACCGCAAACGATCTTGAGCCACTGCAATAATAAATAAAATAAGATAAATTTTATTTAGTTCAAGTGACATTTTTAACTTTATAATAGATGTTCCACTAAATAAAAGTGACTATTACCGAGAGCACAAGCAGCATCTGAGGACATAGGAATGTAAACCTCTCTTGTCTCTTTGGGATAGGGGTTACTCTCAGGTGGCATACCAGCGCCTTCAATGTCGCTGGATATCAGTGTGTCATCATTATTTGGGTCTTCCTCAATCTACAAAGAGTTTAGTAGATCAATTACAAAAACAACCTCATGCAGTTGTATCAAAAGACAATAATCAAAATAACAGTGTGTTCACGAGGCAATTCTATAACATGTCAGAATTTAGAAATCAAAATAATCTTTATTTCATAAGTACGCTTACACTTCAAACCATCACGTTGATTAAACTCAGATTCCCCTGAAAAGAATGAGCAAGAAACTATAGGGGTTGCTCTTTGTAAATAACATTTGTAAATCACATAAAAAACACATTCAAAATTTACAATATATTTTTTGTTTTCAAACATCAGAGATCGAGACTATCGCCATGAGCTAAATGGCTTACTACCGCGGATTTTTGTCATCCAAGTACGCAGAAGTTGTGTAATAACCTTTAGTACAAAGTTTTTGTTTCACTATAGTTTTAACTTAAATTTCTGTCACTATAGCTCAGTAACAATTTTCTACTTTCAACAGAGCACATGAAAGTTCATTAGTAGTTGTAATAGTATTTTTCAAAATAGACCTAGACCAACTAGTTATTAAAGCATGTATTTTCTTTTAATTCTATTTTGATATTGACACTAAATATGTGTTTATCTACAAAAGTTTTAAGGGTCGTATTCCAGAACTCTACTCAATACTCAAGTCAGAACTTGAGCATTGCAGTGAGCACTGAAAATCATACTCAAGTTCTTGCCATTAGGGTAGTATCTCCAGTGCTTGAAATCATTCTCAAGTCTGCTCAAATCCTGACTTGAGCATTGAGTACAGTTCTAGAATACAACCCTTGGGGTCGTATTCCAGAACTCTCAATACTTAAGTTAGGACTTGAGTATTGCAGTGAGCACTGAAAATCATACTCAAGGCCTCGAATTTCCAGTGCTTGAAATCCTATTCAAATCTGCTCAATCCTGACTTGAGCATTGAGTAGAGTTCTGGAATACGAGCATTAGTCTTTAAGAAATGTTCATTATTGTAGTTTCATTTCAACACACCTGATCTAAGCTGCCCTCCATAATTGGTCTCATGCCACTGCTGCTACAATGCATAATAGAAACCTGTACACATTGACCATACAGATCTATAACAGCAAACAGTCTTGGAGGTAAATCTCGAGCTGCTATCCCAAGACATCTACCATTTATGTAGAATACTAATTCACCCTGAAAAGAAATACATATTACATGAGAATAAGTCAAGTCATGATGAAACATTTCAATATAATACATGATATGTTTAGGTCGAATTTTTTTTTTACTTACCTTACTGGTTCGCATAACACCTAAACACTCGCCTTCTCGTAATGTATCAAGCTCTGGACCATATGAATTGACTAAAGTTGACCCATCTTTTACAACTGAACTTCCTGACATTATCTAAAAAGAAACAAAAGAAAACATGAACAAAATCTTTTACAGTAATAATCATAAGAACATACGCACTCCTCATGGAAGAATGACATAAGTGGACTTATGTCAAACATGTTTATTGCTCCATTAGATACAGAAAAATCCACACGTCCACAACCCACATCCTCTCTGATTCATGTATCTACAATATTAGTCGATAGAGTTACAAGTATTGGAGAGAATGTGGGTTATATTTTTCTGTATCTAATAGAGCAATAAATGTTTTTGATATAACTCCACTTGTGCCATTCTTCCATTGTAACAAATTACAAAATATAATCACACCCTGATTATATTTTGTAATTTGCCACAATGAGAGAATTAAAGTTTATGACCTCGCTTACTTTTAATCAACTAGTGTTGGTTTGATATCTAGATAAGTAAAAGCTATTTCAAGCAAAGATTACTTTGCCCTATCAACAATTGACAAACCTGTGTACATTAAATGGGAAATTGTCCACTTTTGTAACTGTTATCACAGCAACCCTGCTGCAACAGGCACCTCAGCTTCATGAAGCGTAAACAACACCAATTAAAGGGTCACAAGCAGTAGATAAAGGACACAGTCACCCACAAATGTATATAATGTAAGTGTAAAAGAAAAATGTGAGAAAAACTATGTGAAATTATTATATATATATATTTGTATTGCCAGTACAAGAAAAATTCAAACTATAATTAGTTTTGGAGGAAAACAGAAGGGATGAGTTTAAGAATTGTGCTGAATATTCTTATACCACGAGATCTATTAACAATAAAGGTTGTACCTAGAACTGTAAATTACTTTGGTCACCTACAAATTATTTAATACCAGTCATATATAATGATCTGAATGTTGACGAAAATAATTTATGAAATTGTCATCACAAGTCTCAGATGACTAAGCTTTGTACCATTGATTGTGATATATTTATACGTCATAAAATACACTCACATAAATATGTGACTGTATTTTATGACGTTATAAATATGTGAGTGTTTATGTATTTTACGATAGGCAATATGGGCATATATATATATATATATATATATATATATTATTTATATATTTATTGCTTATGATGAGAGTGTGTCTCTGTCAATAAACTGCAGTTTGATGGGCTTTGAGTTTATAGCCAAATGTATTTTTTTTTAGAATAAATGTGTTATTTATTTTATTTTATATCTGCCATCCATTAACTAAAACGGCTGAGTAACAAATGGTCAAATATCCATTTTAAATAGCAAAAACTTTCGACGTATCGGACCTTACCCTAACGATGCTTAGCTGAAACATTAGCTGAAATATGAACATTAAACCATTTCAATTATCTAAAACTGGGTTATGGTTTTTTATGATATCTCACAAAATTATTTTGTCACTTAGCCGCATTTTAGTCAGTGGATGGCATAATGTAGAGCGTATGAAAATTGTAGACCACAGGGAGTACATCTTGATCGTGCTGGGAGTTCAAGCTCTAAGACAGAGGTAAACTTGTGAGCTTCTAGAAGGGATACTAAAGGCAATACAGATTGAAATTACACAGACAAATAATTGTACTGTGCAATTAAGCATGTTAAATGTAACATTACAAAAATTATACAACAAAACATTTCACCAATCAAAACTTCCAATCAGCCGTTTTACATAATAAAATGACAACATAAACATTTTCTTGCTTACCCAAGCAGTGTTCCGTAGCTTGGTGGCAGTTGCCGGTAGTTCCATATATTCCGGATCCAATGTTGTGACTCCAATTTCAAGGGATCCATTCCAAACATTTACCTATAGAAGAAGCACTTTTATATCACCAAGAAAGCCAAAAGAACATTATTTAATTCTTTTTTATTTATCATATTTTAAATGTACATTTTTCGGTCATATAGCGCACATTATAAAGTATAAAAAAAAAAGAAAATATTCATAGAATTGTTTCGCACTTTTGAGAAAAAATACCCAAGAGTTTTACATACCTTCCTATCAATACACACTTCAAACATAACATCATCTTTGAGAGGTTCCGCGCTCAATATTAAGCCATGATTAAATTCAACAAAATTACGCACGGCAGTGGAATTGTCGTTTAACAAAGTGACTCTGTCACCACACCTCCTATGGAACCTCATTGTTCTGTATACCATTACATTCACGATTCAAAAGCTCAGTAATTGTTAATACACATTGTCATTATCAAAATCTTGTTTTCACACCTCATTATTAACATTATTTACACAGCCATTACAAAATTCAGCTACCATATAAGTGGTTAATTAATTTAAAAGTCAATCTGTACGATTATAAATTGAACGTTGCATTGTGAATAAACCTTAAATGATTGTAAAATAAAAGGTAACTTAAACTAAGCAGAAACTCGTTTTATATCATGTAGATTATTTTTAGAACTCGTGAGAAAAAGCCAGACGAAAGCGAGCCTCAAAATCTTACGTTACAGTATACAACAAGGTACTCTTTGATCTTATGTTCAAGAAATCTGAAACGGGCTACGCTATGCGTGCTCGATAGGCAACATTGACAAATTTGACATTACGTTTTTTTGTTAAGGGCTATGGCACAGGTGCGAAAAGAGAGTTTTTTTAAATATATTAAGCATTCACTATGATATTAAGCATTGATCTTACACCGTATAAAAAGATCATTCAATTCAATGATTCAATTATATTATTTTGATAACGGTTAAATGCGTCTAAAAGTAATGCAGCACTCCTTTTTGTAATTGTATAATATTTTTTGTAAGTATTGAAAGAAATAGTATACCGTATATTACATTACGCATGACGTATAACAAAATAACCGAGAACGAAGTTGAGTAAATAGTGCCTCATTGAAATCTTATTTATTTTGAAGTAGAGTTACTGCCAGTTTGTGTTTCAAAATTCTTTTACACGTTGTAAAAATTGGTTTGAGCCAGGGCATTTACTATATACGTGTGCTTTTGGACCGAGTTCGCTCGTACGAGTTAGTTCGTATATAGGAGTCCACTCGGATTTTGGTTCACATCTTACGAGTTCATCAGTGTCCACGTAGCATTATTCTCCTTGCATGATACGTGAGGCGCACTATAAGTTTCGGGAATGAATAAGAAAAAAATACTGTAAATGGTCGGAAACACAGACATTGTCTGTGGTCAGAAATGAATTTGTTTCTCAAAATATTTTCTGTTAGTGTTAATGCACTTTTTCATACGAATTCACCAATTTTGAAAGCACTTATGCCACTCCTCTGTGACAATCTCTGAAACATATTTTTCATACTATTCGACAGCCTCTTCAGGTGATGAAAACCGTTGACCGCGTAACTGGTTCTTAATTTTTGGAAATAAATAACGGCGTTTACGATTATTTTTGCGGAGTTTGTCAATAACTTCCGGCAAACAAATGGTCGTGTAACAATAACTATTCACGGTACAACGATTCTCCAAAGCAACAGTAGCCACGTGTCCAGTTTTATTAAAAAAGAAGCAATCATCCTCTTAGAGGCACTTTGCACGCGCGCCACTTTGATTGGTTTCGACTCAACTCGAAAGACCCATACGCTCGATAGCTGCTTTGTTTTGGGATCGTATCTGTAAATCCATGTTTCGTCACCTGTTCCTATGTACCACACCAAATTTGACGCCCCTTCGTTGAATCTGGTAAGCTCAAATTGTGTAGGATCCACCGAGAGCACAGCTTTTTCACACCCAAATGTTTGTATAGTATTGATTGTATTCATGATTGTACTCATGGTATGTCACATGCCTGTCTGTTTTGATAATACGGCGCACAGCATCGATGTTTCTGTTGTTGTTGTTGTTCACAGCAGTGGACGGGCAACCAGCACGAAATTGATCACTGAGATTCACACGGCCGCGTTTGAATTCCGCAAACCAACTATAAATAGTCGTCTTGCATGATGCTTCATCGCCAAAAGCAGTTTGAAGCCGAGCGAAGCTGCGCTGAGGTGTTAAATTAGAATTACACTTAAAGTCGTACAAAATCATACTACGAAAATTTTCACGAGTTAATTCAATTTCTAAAATGACGCCACAATTTAAAACGAGTGACAGTCGTATCTGCTACAACTTAACGGCTGAAGTATAAAATCATGGTAGGGAAAAAACAAAGTTGGAGAAAAATTGGACCATAAATGGATTTTAAGACCTGATCAACTTAGTGCATAAATTATTTAAATTTTATTCGAAAAGTGGAAGAGAAAGATGAAAACACTTTTAAAACCTCACATTGTCACGTTCATTCCACGTTTTCTTACTTGGCGCCATTTTGTTTTCATAAAATATTCCGAGCATAATCAAAAAGACTTATTAACATTGCGAATTACGAAACGAACAAAGGTAAACATAGCTATGGGACAATGGCAAAAAAATACTACAGCACCATCAACGGGACTGTCTGATTGTGCTACGGTAAAGACAAGAGCTTACCTGCCTATTAGGTATATCTACATGTATAGTACAAAGCGTGCATGCTTGCTTGCATGCGTGGTAAGTAGTGCGCTTTGTGTGAAACGCATTAAATTAAGTCTGAGGTAAAACAAAACACCGCAAAAGGATATCGGTTTATAAACATAAACATAATATTCTATTCGTTATTTTAGTCAAACGGAATGTTGGGGAAATTGGAATCGGATAACAAATAACTTGTTAATAATTGCTCTAGTATTTTATAATAATAATAACGCACACTCTCAACATAGACCCGCACTGGGGAGACCTTGTGTCGCGGGTGCTATGGACACACACATAGACAACCACAAATGAAACCCAAACTCACGAGAGAAATAAATGTAGGCCATTCAAATATTTCTCCCGGCACGGGTAATCGACCCTGAGACCTCTGCGTGGCAGTCCGGCATGGTAACCGTTCGACCAAGGAGGCAGTTAATAAGATCATTTCTAGCTATTTTAGTCCATTTATCGTCGGCGCTGTGACAGACGTCAGATAAATTAATGTTCTATTCTATTCTATTCTATTCTATTCTATTCTATTTCCTTAATGGCGGCCTAAGGGCCAGTGTCAGTTTCGATTAATGGTATCAGTTTATATTGTTCAATAACAATATTAACTGACAACATTAATTTGAAGATTATTAGATATTTGATTCTATTTTTAACGACTTTGTCGTTTTTAAATTACTTTAAAAATGTTCATGTCATCATTATTAAAAAAATTGAATTAAAATGTTTTTTTCTGTTTCATTTAATACATCGATAACTTTTTAAGTAAATGCGGAAAATTTTCCATAATTCTGAAAAAGGGATATAAACGATCTGAAAAGTGGAAGCAGACGCATGGATTTTGTTCACTTTATTTCATTTGTTAATTTTATAGGCACCACTTTTCTTCGTGAATGTAGGACATCGAGTATATATTTCTGGTTATACCTATACTCGATGCTGTAGGACTACAGTGAGTACGCTTACAGCGTGTTGGGTATCAGCTACGGGGACCCAATTTCACCCATTTGTATATAACCCCGAATCTAGTACCTATTTAAACTTTTAATGCAAATACGTTCTTCCCCTAAACAAGTAAAGAATGACAAACATTGATCTACTTAAACAATAGAATGTCAATTCTTATAAAAATATTACTAAATTCGTAATGTCGTAGAATGTATCCAGAATGTACCTACTCAAATCGATGTAAATTATAAAGTGCATCCCACAAGTCTCTGATTTCATTTAAACCATCGACAAATATTTCATGTACTACCACACTACCATCGTTAAGTAAAACTGATAACTATTACTGAAAACGATCCTTATTGCTATGTTCCAAGAATGATAATTGAAAGTATGACAACTGAGTGCATTATCCTGAAACTCATTTGAACTGACTTAAGTACAATTCTAATACTACTTTAGTGAGCGATAGAGTTCATCGGCGTGAATATAGACCCTTCTGTGCCGGAGCAGTAAATTTAGATGTGGGCGGGGTATCGATCGACGCGTAACGATGCGCCCGATGACGGCGGCGGCGACAGAGGCGCGCTTTCAGTGCGGGCAGTAAAAACAAAACACGCGTACTGTGGACGAATCGCCACAGGATGCACACGCTGATCGCGCTGCTCCTCGCCGCTGCAGCAGCGTGCACCATCGCTCGCCCCCCTGGTAAGTTCTTCATTCATTTTTCAATTAAGTTGAACAACGTTGAACCATTCTCACACTTGTCTACTTATCGTCAACTATAGATAACGCGTTTCCTCCCTCGTCAAAGCGAATTTTATTATCTAGTCAGTTCATTACTATGGTTATTTCATGAAGTGCGACGCGTCTGCTGCAATGTACCTTATTAAAAGACAAAGGCGTTATTGTTCGCCTTATCGACAGGATCAGCAATCACACCGACACCTGTTACGCGCTGCTATCGAATAAGTATCTATCTGGTTGACTGCATATACCGATATTTCTCACGATTCACCCTTGTGGTGTCTCCCTGAAAAAGCTAAATAATTATTAATAGGTATTGCGAAACAATTTGAATATATTTTTTACTTTGTCACGATTCAAGTTTAGAGTGCACTGCAAATTAGCGAAATGTTTCTTATAAAATGTTCAAATCTGATGTAACCAGGCAAATAACTACCCATTTGCAGTTCATGTTTAATGAACATGTCCTCGGCCTGGCTCCGTGTATGAGGCAGACCGAGGACTGTCTGTTACAATTGACTGATTTTAAGTTATTACAAAAAACGAATTTTTGTTTGGTAATTTTGTTCGCTATTGCATAGAATAATCCTTTCAAAGTACAACACACGTCGAAAATGTTTCACATGAACATTAACTTACCTTCTCAACTTCAAACTAAGGCCAAATCCGAATAGAAACAGCGAAAATGGGGTACTGGGACATTGGATAGCAAATGCGTATGCATAGCGAATCCTGTTTCATCTATTTGTTAGAATTTCATCGCTATTGATCGTACAATCCGTCCGCACCTGGATACATGTAGGTAATATATGTGATGATAGACGATAGAGCCACTTCCAGCATTTACGGTTAGTGATGCTGAGGCTAAAAGTAGAGGGTTGGGAGTTTAATTTATACGAAAATATAGACAAACAAGAGGAAATACTTATTAGAATAAATACTTAATCACTGTTAGGGACCTAAAGCTAAAACAAGAACGATAATAAATTTAAGGACACAATGAACTGAATTTTGAAACAAATCTGCAAAAGGCTGTATGTTTCTAAACCTGTTTTCATTCAGCGTTTGAAGCTGTTGGTAAGAGTAAATAAATAAACATTGTTGTCTCGTATCTAGCATATCATATTTCATCTATTATCCTCAAGACACCAACATAAGTATATTATATTCGTGTCGTAATTACCTATGCAAATATCGCACCAAAAGGAGATAGTTAGTTACCCTGCTATTTATGATTTACACTGATTGAACAACTGCATATGCACCACTTGAATCTAGGAACAATTCGCACTCTATGATTCAAATTGCAGGAAATCATCTATCGGACAGGAAGCCGCTAATAAGAAAACTGTCTTCAATTGTCTTACTTGGCTTTATCGATTCCGCGACCCTTTGATACCATACATTAATAAATTGTGCTTGTTTACAAATGGCGAATGTCAATGATTTAAAGAAAAATAATCATAAAATTATTCTTTTGCTTATTTACAAGCATTTTACAAGTGTCAAAGACAATAGTGTTTAAATTTTACCGCCGGTCTCAACTCTAGTTTACAAGAATATTATATATATATATATATATTTATTATTCGTACTATATATACGAGTATGTCTATATCTTCGTTGGTACTTTATGAAATTTCGAAACAAGTATTAACTTTTAATGAGTCTGTTATAGCCTCTATTCCTATAAATTTTACTGATTTTTCTACTGATTGCTCTGCCGGTAGAACTGTTTGAATCAAAGCTCCAAACTACTGTACCAATAATTATGGTAAAACACGGAAGTCTGTGTGGTAGAATATATTAAATAAATACTTTTAAGCTGTCATACTGCTGGCTATTGTCTTTACATTTGCATAAAAATCATTGTACTAATATCATAACAGTGTTTTAATGTAGAACCACTTGGATTTTTTTAACTAATTGGGTGTAAGAAACCACGTACACTAATATATAACAATTTGAAGCTGGTTATTCAACTGGTTATATCAGTAGAATTGTCAGTACGACTAGTGGGAATAAGGTCACAGCTTTACCTGTCCCTGTTTTCATGTAGACAAATGCTACTCAACTGAAAAATAACAATTAAGTGTTTTAAAACCAGGGTTCAATGACGACCGAGTACCTAGGGATCGCCGTTATCGAGATGGATTATATCCTGTGAAAGAGTTGAAGGAGAACGCACAGCGTTTCATGTTGCGCCTGCTTACTGCACCCTACAAATACGGATATAGAGGCGACTTTACAAGGGATTTAATGAACGGTGTAAGTAAAAATACTTAGATATTGTATTTCTTAAGGTGCGTATGCAGGTTCGCGCACCTACAACTACTCCATTAGTGGTTCATTTCGCAGGCAACGTTACACTCTCCGCGCGTTGGCAGTTTTTGCACGAACTCAAAGCGAAGCGCAGAATGTTCGTGGACGCGAGCAAAACAACATTCGTGTTCGCTCAACGTTCAAATGAAAACTGCGGAGCAATCGCAGATGCGCGGAGCGCAAGTCGATGCGATGGAGAACTTAGTTTTTTGTAGTGATTCGCTTAACGACTCCTTTTGAGCGGTTATAGACGCGCGTAGTAGAGTTGGTGAGCGAACCTAATGGATACCCACCTTTACAAATCAACTGTACTTAAACGACAATTCCATGTCATTTTTACTACTTCTTAGTCAACGTGCTTCTTAAACAATTCATAATGTTGCTTTATAAATGCAAATCGTCGCCTTACTTTCTCAAACTCGTATCTTAAAACACAAAGTTACTGAAATGCAAAACACGGGTTGTATATACAAATGTTGACGGCTGATTTGACATCACATTTACTTCATATTCACACACTGGCTTTTACCTATTCTTAGAGTAATGCATCCAAATTAACCCCTTGATAAGAAATTTAAAATAAATAGAACGTTTTATCACCTCCTGAATAATCACTCTTTATAAGATACGAGTTTGAGAAAGTAAGGCATCGAAATGCCATAGTATTATGGTAAAAAAAAACAGCAAAAAAATATAAAGTCTCGAATATTTTAAAACGAATTAGCGATTGGTCATTAACCTAATAAAATTTCAAATGTAGATTAATAGATAATGTGTTTATTTATCGCTTATAAATTTCAACTTTTTTATGTTTTAATTTTACTATAATAGGTACGAAATATAGAGGATTTAGCTATAAAGTAGTAAACGCTGAATGGTTGTATGATGTTTGGTAAAACAAAAAAGAAAAAAATAATTATAGCAACAATTGCACCGGTTATATCGAAACCTGTTACCGTTTTTCATGACGCAAAGCATGTCGAGGCTGATTTCGACCTCAAACCTTAACGAGTGCTTATTTATCTACAGGCCTGCTGTGTTTTACGCAAACCATTACAAATATTAATAGGCTTTTGTGTAATAGATAACAAGTTGAAAAAATGGTTAGTTTTAATAATGTATGTTCCAAATTTGGCAGTGCCTCTGATTTTCTGGTTTTCCCATACTTCATTGTATTAATCATAAACCACTTCCGCTTTAGTATAGCGTTTGCCGATTTAGTTGTACAGTATTATTCTATATAGGTAAGTTATTCTTATCATAATTGCGAAAACAGCACAAGGACAATAAATCACAGTTCATTTTTGCAAACCCTGTACAATCAAAAGCTGGTCAATAATAATTTGGGACTACACCACGCCGGGACAGACCACTTGACAATATTTTTTTTGTTTGCTTTGTATTCATTTCACTCATTTAGAAAGTTCTAGTGTACTGGAATTGAACTGTACTTTACCACCCAGTTAACCGTGACCATATGATCTGTAAAGATCACAAAACGTTGGTTTGTTTGAAAAAACAAATAGTTTTATATTATATTACTATACATAGATATATCGTTGACAATAATACTATGTTAATAATAATCTCAGTACAGTGTACTAAAAAAACCGACCTCAAAAGTACGTGGAATTACATATAATTACCAAGTTTTATTGAAATCGGTTACCGGAAAGTGCGCAAACGCGGATTCATCCCCTAGTTCGCCACTATACGAGTCTTGACACAGGAGATAATAAAAATCGGTTCTCACTACTCAAAGTATATTGGGAGAGAAAAACGCCTTGAATTAAAAAATAGCAAAATCAACCATTAAAATAATTACTCATTACACTAAAATTTAGGCGCTATTTATAAAAATGAATCTTTATGCGTGAACAGCCACCCTTATAGGTGGATGATTTTCTTCAAAATTGAATGGGACCACTATCAAGGCACCTTCTTTCCAACAAAAAAAGAATCATGAAAATTGGTTCACAAATACCGGAGTTATCGCGTAACATACGTACTAAAAAAAGAACATACAGTCGAATTGAGAACCTCCTCCTTTTTTGAAGTCGGTTAAAAACTAGACCTTATCCAAAGTAATGTCATACATGCTAAAGTAACTCTGTTACATTTTCATGCTTGAACCGCTGAATTAATAATGATAAATTTTGGTATAGAGATAGGTGAGAACCTAAGAGAAGGACATAGGCTACTTTTTGTCACAAAAATAAATCTTAAAGGAGGTGAAATAGAGGATGAAAATTTGTAAGGAGGACCATTAAAACTATAAAAATGAGTGCATTACAGTAGGCTACGCAAAATACTTATCCTGAGCTGACGAAGTCGCGGGCACCGGCTAAAAAGTTATTTAACGTTCTAAGATGTCAGATTTAAGAAAGTGATTAATAGTAATGTTGATGAGCTAACGAAAGAAAAAGGTAGTTCACATTGCTTTTATTGAAAATCATGATGTTTTTACTACAGTTGTATTCATATAATGGTTTGACTCCAGCCAAATCGAAAGTATTTCTCTTTATGATAGTGAATGTGAATTTTTCTTTCGATCTTTGTGTCAATAATAATAACAATGTGGTTCATTTCAATTTTACTTCGGTCATAAAATCTTTTTTTTTTTGTATGCAGGAGATAGACAACATGTACGATGAAAATATGTTAGAACTAGTCAAAGGATATTTTTTAAAATGGGTCGGGCCAGATCCGCCTCCAGAAAAACCGTTATCTCTGCGCGACATTATAATTGATGATAACATTAATAAGTATTATATGTATAATCCTGAAATTCAGAATAGTGCTAGACCATTGAATTTGGATTCCCATGCCTCAGGATTTAGATATTTCCCACAATCTGAGCCTATGTCGGGCGGCCCTGATTTTTTGGATTCAGAGATAACAACATTGCAACAAACTCTGAGGGATTCGAAAGCTCAATCAGTAAAACATGAAGAGGACAATGGCACTAAATATACCGATAAGAATTGGAAAAAGTTTGCATTGACACCAGAGGACAAGGAGTTCTTTGAAAGTGCTGAGGACAAAACTGATCATGATAGTAAATCCTCAGGTAAGTCATGGGTTTTTAAAACTAATGGGTTTGACTTCCATAACTAAATAGGTGGGAAATGACGATGAGATCGACAATGGAGTGGAATACACACGTAAATATGCCTACTCACTCTCGCCTTGAAAAGTCCCAAATACCTAATTAGGTAATCATTGTAATAGGAAGCAAGTGCCATTTTGTCGTAACTATCTAAAAATAATATGTATAATAATCTTCAAATTACTTTGGCTTAGGCATGTCCATGATACCTGTGATGCACCACGAAGGCACCGCACCAAAAGTACCTTCTTTAATTTTCGAGCCTCCGCGACAAACTCGGCAAAATCCCACGTTGAGCAAGCAGAAACATCTGGTTGAACCTGATATTGGCAAACTGAAAGCTGGACTGTGAGTCTTACATACATATAAAGTAATTAAAAATTAATTCAACTCCATTTTATTTTATAACTAAAATTAGTAATATGATCATTTATCGAGGTCACCCCTCAGTGGAAACCATTGTATGATAGGGTATGGATACCTATGTATATTTAGAATTAGTATAATAAATAATTCCTGGGCTTGTACTATGTAAGAAGCTTCTATGACAGATCGTTGATAGCTAGGTTGATGCACATCTAATCATTATTTTTATTCTTGCTTAGATTCCCTTACATTCGTTTTCGTTTTAAGCTAAATGTGCTCTGAAGCTATCGTTCTTAATGGCAATTTATCTTTGACTCAGCGGGGGCAATCAGCGACCTCGTTATGGTGTTGTTCACTACAAAGCGGACAATAATCTAATAGATTTTTTTAAATTATAAATAAAAGAGACAGTGAACATGGAGAAATTATATGTTTATGTGTCTAGTAATTTCTGCCTCTGTGAAAATCTTCTGTCAACAACAGCAAGCCTTTGTGACGTCGTGTTGGCAATTTTTTAATAAAATTGAATTAACGTTAGGTCAATTCTCATTTCAAAATTTACTTTTTTGTATTCGACCATAATATTATATATTTACGTATCGTAAATTTTACTAAACGTGGTATGAGACGTAAAAGATTTTGCACATTCGTTTTCTACTTTTATTTTATATTAATAAGTAATCCAAGAGTTTTATTTGCGGCAATTAAAAATTTAAGACGTTTGAACAAATCGTATTAAATATTAAAACGAAGTCCTTTAGTGTTAAGTTATATTGCGTGTGTTTTTATATTACCGTAAACGAAGCCCTACGATTGATATACAAAAACATTTTAATAGTCCTTAAACACTTAAGTTTGGTCTCAAATATACCATCACTTTGGTATGAAAAAACTTATAGTGTAAATGCGTTTGCCTTTACAAGTGTCCGTTTCTTCTACCCGTCTATTTTAATATTTTTCCACAATTCCTTATAAAACAAGAATTTTTAATGAAACTTACTGAGTACCAATTTTATTTCGAGGAATTATGGAATGAATATTTGACAAGCCTAAAACCCATTTGTCAGTAGACTGCGCTTGTAGAGTGCGTAATAACACTGTAGAAAGAGTTAATAAATTCCAGGGCAAATAAGGACTACCGTATGCCCGTCTCATTACTGCCCGTGCCTACCAAACTGCGCTGGTTGAAAAGCAATCAACTCGATGAGGAGAGGTGAAATTAATTAATTAAGAAGCACTTAGAGCCCTTGACTCCCGAAGAAACTTTTTTAAATATACACCTGTTATCCTTAAATGTCTAACTAACCCTTTGCCATTCAGGAACAATTTTTGTCTTCGCCAATTTCTAGTTCGAAATCGAACGTCTCAATCTACGACATTGATGTCCCGTATCTTTATTATTAAATTATTATTATTTATTTTTGTTGCCACAAAACGTTCATCGAGTTTTCACCTCTCGGGACTAGTACCCATTTCAAAGAACCTAAACAAAAAATTAAAATGTTTTCAAACCAAATCTTAAAAGACGTGAGCACTCTCTCGTCGGCAATGCACTGTCCAAAAAATGCATTACTCATACTTGTAGTTCATAAACTTAATTATATATTATATTCATCATATTCGCATAGGATTTAGAAACACATTATACTTCATTGTTAGATACATCCACGGAAGGAAGTTTACTGTAATGACCTTTCAATAAATTTCAATAATTTTATGCTTGGACAGTCTAATAGTGCGTTCCCACGGCCGTGTCCGCGGCCTTTTTTCCAAAACGCGCCGTTTCAAGTAACGATTTTTGATAGAAATTTAAATAAATCCCGATCCGTTTAACAAGCTAAAACTATAATTACACCAAAATATTAGCCAATTTTTGTCACATGCGAAACTTTACTGGAATAGCTGAAGCTCATATTTCCAAAACGCGTCTATAAGTTGAAATATTGGACTTACAGCACTAAACTTCCTTCAAGTTTGCTAATAAACTTTCGAGTCGTCTAGAATAAAAAGAGCACTAAATGATGACTAAATGCTAATTGCTTTGAGTCGATATAGGATCTTTTTTACAATCATGTTTATTGCGACCCTGTTACTTCGTTGACAGCTCGCATGAGGATGGCGACGTCACAATTAGACCTCTGGTCATTCAAGTAGGTGACTCAAATATGGATCCTGCAGACTCTCTATATGGAGTAGCTCTCGTCGCAGCGGTAGGTGCAGCTCTATCCATGGCTATTTTGGGATTTGCTTTCGGATGGTACACGTAAGTAACTACAATGAAACGTATGTACATATAACTTCTTCATTTTGTAAGACTTATGAGTTTCAAAGACCTTTTCATATGACAAATGGGATTTATATCACATATTCATTTACGAAAAAAAAAATTCAGACATTCGAATTCACATATAGGGGGATACTATACAATTTCGATTGTAGAACTTTAAAGTATACTTATACGTTATACATAATATATTCGTCGACTGAATTAGAAAACCGCGTAACTGCGTTTTTGTATGAAATCGCTTTTTTTACTCTTTAAACGCAATAACGGGCAATTAATGTTGAAACATAACCTGTACACCTTTTTTAGTTATAAAGTAAAGGTAACCATAGATTGTTTTATAATTATTTTTAGTAATTCTGTTTTTTGTGCTTATTAGTAGTAAGGTAAATAAATAAAATTTAAAAAATAATTCGTTTAAGGTTTAATTCGTATAAATAGTCTATACTCACCAAAACAAAATAAGGACCATCATAATTTGTCTGGATAAAATATTTTTTGTGTTGATTACAGTGCAAATGGTTTTTATATTTAATAAAATAACCATTTTTTCGTTAAATTATATCGAGAGCCGCTTCCTGTGTCGTCGTGCCTTGGAGGCTGCTAACGTTTCCCCTTTAGAGCTAAGCTTAAAGTAAAAAGTAGGTCAACAACATGTACCACTATGCAAAGATTCAAGTTTCTATATCAAATACATTCTGAGAAAAATGTTTGTGACAGATAAACGAACGCCTGAGTGTGACACGCAGAACACGTGGGCAATTTATAAAGATTTCATTGTTCCTTCTGAGGTTCGATGCTTTGAAAATAACGTAGGTAGATTTAAAAATTTCAAAGACAAAATACCGTATGTAACATCTGGAATTAAATTCGTAATAAATCAGGCTGACATGCATAAGTATAAGCTACGCGTGAAATCACGTAGCACACGTAGCATGAACGCTTGTCGTAGAGCTATTTCTCTAGACTAGAAATGACCTTCAAAAAACATTTTTCAGTTTTTTTTTCCATGTAGAACTCTACTGCTGTTGTAAAATATGAATTATGTTTTCTTATTAGATTGTCTAAAAAGGCAAAAGCAGCTGCCGACGTAGACTATCCCGCTTATGGCGTGACTGGGCCTACCATCGACACTTCCGGCGATCGCAAGCTCGCGCACTCTGCCCACATGTACCACTACCAACATCAGAAACAACAAATAATTGCTATGGAAAGGTATGTCTCACAAAAGATTATACAATTTTCTAAAAAGAGGCAGGATTTTGTAGTTACAGTTTTTATACAAATAAATTATTATTTTAAGTATTATCACGTTTTGAGTTTCTTAATTATATGTTACCAGTTTGTATGATGTAAGCTCTGTAGCCAATGCTCAATAAATAAATAAATGCGCTTCATATAACACGACCACACCACCACCATACCACTTCTCCCATTCAAAAATTCTAAACTGATCTTTTATGCCATGGGAGAGGCAAGAGTCTAAAATGGATATGATAATAAAATACAGTTGATAGATTTAATCGTATTGATTAATTAGTACTCGAATCACAGAGTACCGTAGGTTTAAGTTCCTTATTCCAAACATGCAACACAGAATCATACTTTTCTAACACCATTATCTAAACAATAACTACAACGACATCTCTAGCCAGAGCTGGTAGCTGTAAATGTATTTAACTGGGTGATGAAATACTTAAGATTTCTCATAGATGGCGCTGCGGCTAAAAAGTCGTTTAGATTTGACACTCCAGGCAATCTTCGATTGGGGCAATGCCAATCTTGTCAAATTTAACGCTACCAAAACGCAGGCGTGTCTATTCTCCACAAAACGGAGTCCCTTTGAGTTGACTCCAACTTTTCGTGATATATCCATACCGATAGCCGATTGTCTCCAGCTACTTGGAATGGACCTATCGTCCAATTTGAACTTCGGCAGATACATTGAATCCATGGCCAAAAATGCAGCAAGGAAGCTTGGGATCCTTTCCAGGGTGAGGCGTTACTTTACATCGGGACAGTTGCTTCAGCTGTACCAAGCACAAGTCCGATCGTGCATGTAGTACTGCTGCCACCTCTGGGATGGCTCTACGACATATGAACTGGCCACTTTGGATTCAATTGACAACCATGCCCAAAGGCTTATAGGTGACTAGGCATTAGTGGAGGCGAAGCTGCAGACACCGCCGTAAAGTTACCTGCTTAACGGTATTTTATAGGATATATCACGGAGAGTGTGCGATTGAATTACACGATTTAATTCCGCCTTCCCCTTTCCATCACCGGAGGACTAGGGGTGTCGTGGTGAATGTTCACTGATCCCACGGCGCCGACTCAACCGGCGAGAGAGAAACCCGGGGGGGTTTTAGTGGGGTAGGCCCTCCAGTCTGAAGGGAGAGTCCCCACATAACCCCTGAGTCTCCCTGGGCTCAGGGGTATCCATAAAGATTTCCCCCCCGTCAAAAAAAAGGCTTGGGTTCCACCCCTATGTTGTGGATATTCCAAACGTTCGTGGAAGCGTAACGCTTCCTGCGAATCTTTGAAATATCCTTGGAATGGAATATCTTTATATGGCGAACGGCTATCGAGTGGAATTCCCTGCCTGCAGACTTGTTCCCTGAGCGTTATAACTTGGGTCAAGGCGAGAGTAAATAGGCATTATTTAGGTGTGCATGCTCCTTCCTTCTCATCGTCACTTTCCATCAGGTGAGATGGAGGTCAAATGCGCACCTATATTTTATATAAAAAAAGTCGTTGAAAAAGCAAATACAAAGACACGACAACAAACACATAGAAACATTTGTGAGGTCCGCTGGTTCGTTCAGTGGCGTAGTTGGTATAACGTTTGGCACGGTATGCCAGAAGACGTCGGTTCGAATCGGGCCGGACCCAAGGAATTTTTTCTGTGTGTTCGATTTTTGTATTAATAATATTATTAATAGTTACAATATAAAGAAAATTAAATTAAAGAAATTTATTCAATTTTCGTAACTATTTATTTATTATAATAAATAGGGGTTAACAGTTCGACGACCTCCGTGATCGAGTTGCTTGCACACCGGTTGGGCCACCATCAATGGTGGCGCATCTCGATCCCGGCCGAGCCAATGTAGAAAACTTTCCTATTATTATCTCTGAGTGTTTATCACGTGTATAGTACCGTCGGCGTCGTTGTTTTCGATTTCCATAATACATGCGCCTTAGTTACCTAGCTTGAGATCGGGACAATTATTTATTATATTATTATTAGTTGTCTAATATTTATTTGTATAGTTAATAAGACATTAAAATCCTTGGAGAGGCTTAAAATGCGTTACGTCAGCGAAATTAAAAGTGACTACGTGGCAGCAATACGACAATTTACAATTTTAACTTAGAATAAAGCAATTTAGTACTCACTAGTTCCTAGCTAAGGTGACAGCAGTTGGTCCTCGTTCTCATATAGCATAAAGTAGTTGTAAAAACCATAGTGAACACTTAATTTTATATTCACAACTCAAACTATTTCATTTAACAGGAACGGACTTGAACAACGGACCGGCTCAGTATCTGATCCGGAGTCTGAAGAAGAGAACGAGGAAGGTGATTACACCGTCTACGAATGCCCTGGTTTCGCTACTGTAAGTAATTTAATAACATTCTATACATCATATCATACATATCATACAATCATAATAATTTTGATGTCGTAATTAAAGAAAGACGAAATATATCCTTGTGAAAGAGTTCGTCCAGGTGGTACTCCCACCTTACCTATTTCTGCCGCCAAGCAGTAATTGATCCTTTCCGGTTTTGAAGGGTAAGGGTGCTGGTGAAATTGCAGGCACATGGGACTTGTCAACTTATGTCTCAGGGTGACAGTGCTCCTCAGATACTTGCGATTTAAAGCTTTGATAAACAATAATTTTGATAGCAACTGCTATGGGAAGGCGTGTCACTTATCACCAGCGCACGACTTGTTCGTCCCGTCACTATATATCAAAAAGAAAATATATAATTTTTACAATAATTTAGCGTTTTTCTGTTTTAGACGGGTGACATGGAAGTGAAGAACCCTCTCTTCTCGGAGGATCCAACTCCAGCCACTCCCGGTCAATGCGAGGTGGTGAAGCCGCAGCCCAAAAACTAACTCGCTGATGCGCAATCGATCATTACACAGTCTATTATAAGCTAACCCATTTTCGATTTTTTTGATGATAATCGTTTTCGATTTCTAAGCCATTTTTGGCTTTTAAATAGAAGTGTGGTTTTTCGAAAACATATTTACTTGCAAAAAATGCAATTTTTACTTTGTCGTCATTTTGAAATTAACACTACGCAAATTGCAAGATTTTTCATTTATAAACATATATTAATAATATTTTAACTACAAGTTATTCATCATAGATTATACTTACATCATATATGGACGGGGAACTAACCAAGTCCAAATAAGTCTCTAGAAGAAGAGCTACCACACGTCATCACTCATTCCGCTGCCGGAGCACCTCCCGCTTAGGCATAATCTACTTCGGCAAACTTGGAAGTCTCTAAATAGGTTGAAGACCCAAGTCACCCGAAGCAAGGAGAGCATGCAGAGGCGGGGTTATAGCTCGGAAGCGCATGTGAGTGTGGTGTTCTCCCCAAACAATGGCACATATTTTGTCCCTACACGCAAGGACCTGTACAACGCCACTGACAATTAGCCCCCTTTACACAGTCCCTCTATCGCGTGTGATCAGGAGCATACAGGTTTGTGCCCGGAAAGCCTGCACTCGCAATCGTGCGCGATTACTTGTTTCATTTTTTTAAGCTAACGTTCCTTTGCGCGCGGTGGCTCGTGTTCGTTTGTGTTACAAGAAAAAGAGAATCCGTAAAGGCTAATAGCGCTGGATAGACCGCGTGAAACTGGCGCGTGTTGAAATGCGCGAAAGCGCGTGACTGTTAAGCGCAACCGCGCGGTCTTTCCCTTTTCCTTTCAGAGTCTTTACACGCTCTATCACTTGCGGTAAAGTGTCTGTGTAAAGCTCGCTAATGCTGTATCGCTCGTTAGGTACTGGTTCTCACAAATATAAACGTCAGAATCGACATGCTGAGAAGAAGAAGATTAACACTTATTATATTATATACTGTATAATTTTCTTTATTTTGAATTTAATTTAAATTTACTGAATAATTTGGCATTAAAAACGCAAAAACGACATATGCGAGTTAGTGTAGTATTAATTACTAATGTCGAAATATTCTAGACAAGTCAATCGTGTGTTGTAAAAAGATGGAAGATAATTACTACATCTTTATTACTTTGTCTCTTCCAATGGTCTCTTCCTGTGACATTCCTTTTGTTTTGTACAACAGACGTGTATTGGCGATGTCTATACAATCTTTGAATATGAAATAAGTGGATATGTTTGTCTCCGCTTGGTTTTCTGAAGCTAGTTAGAAAGGCATAGGTAACACGGACAAAATATTCTCTAAAATTCTTCAAACCTATGTACCTTATTGTAAAGTACAGGGAAAAGTTGTCATAATTAAAACTAAACGTCAATGCAAGCGAAGTGTCAGGTCGAACTGGAACAGTATCCGGTAATTAGGGTAGTACATAATATTACATTATAGTTATTGCATGATCCTATATGTGTAATGTCTATGCATAATTCCTTGATAGAAGATATTAGCATGTAATCCACATTTGTTATTTTAGAAGTGTTACTTGTATCGTAAATATATATTAAACCTTTATGTTATCGGCCTAAGAACCAACGACTAATTTGGAGAGGCGACAACTAATCACGGCGGCAGCTATTATTATAAGCAGTGAATTTGCACCTGGCCTCTACTCAAAATTCGAATTGGCCATAAAATTATTAGGTAAACTTTAAGGTAACGTACTGTTATATACTGAACTGCATTTAATGAATATTTTAACCCTAATTATAATTTACAAAAACATATCTTCTACACAATTTATAACTGTACAATTTTATAGAAAAAAAATCTATTGATTATCTATTTAAAATGTCCTGTCTATTAAATGGCTCAATATTTATAATTGCATATTTAAATTTAAATACAGATAACTATAACATCTTAGAAAAAAACGATGATTGTATGAAGGTACATGTAATAGATAGATTTATACCTACGGTGCTTACCCTGTCAAGTCCGATGTATACTTACCTACCTATCCTTTGCACGTCCGGATGAGATTATTAATCAAAAATACAGAACACTGATATGCCTACAATTCGATTGTTTAGTACCTTTCGTTTCGTGCATTCTGCGGAATCCATGAGTTAGGCTCAGAGAGACTTACCTAAACAAACATACGGTAGTGGTATCGCGGCGGCGTATTTATTAATCATAGCAGCATTACTTATAGCTAGCTCAGTTTTTGAAGTCGCAAAGCGCCGCAGTATCTTCATACATAAAGGCCATTATTCAAAGAAGACCAGGCTTCATTTCAATGCCATACAAAATTGTTATTTAATGGTAATACAGAAAAAATGTACGTCCATCTAATAGAAAATATATGCGTAGTACACCAATAATACACGGTGTTAATAGTGATCAAACGTAAAAGTATACATATTATGTGGATAGCACGTTTGTGTCGAAGTGTACACAAAAACCACAAAGTGATGATATAATATCTAAACTGCGCGGTGCTGAAAGTCGTCACATCTCAAAAAATATCATAGAGTAGCATGTCAGCATCAAAATAATTTTAAGGTAAAAACGTTTTGCGCTCCACAATATGAGAAACAGTTCCGTTTTTACTTCTCAGTATTTTCATTTAAAATATCCGGGGGGGTCCATTGGTAATGTAGGTACCTATAACAATCGATGAAACTTTAAAACATTTTGCTGTAGCATAGTCACTCTCTCTCTCTCAAAAATACATATAACTACCAAGACATAAGAATTATATATATTGATGTATTACGTACTTTAATCAAAACTAATTACCTGTCTCTATGTGTATATATATCATTATCATATATATATATATATATATATATATATATATATCATTTATTTATATATAAAAAATATTACTATGTTCGGGTCTAACCTGATATGATATGTAGTGATTTATTTTTTGAAACATTTATGCGTTTCCCCTAAACGGGAGTGGTTAACTATATTCATGCAAATTTAGATCCAAAATTAGAAATTAGAGATTGGACAAAAGGATATGTTATCTTTGATCTTCAACCTACATTCGGACCAAGTATGAACGAGAACGATTCTCATTAGAATATTCTGTTGACAGGTCCATCAGCAACGAATACAAGATGGACTTGATGCCATGTACTCCTTGTCGGTATATAGTGAACCAATCACGCGTCTTTTCTCTGTCAATTGTTATTGACTGACTCTTCGTGCCATTATAAAACAAATTATCTTTGCTTATTTGAAAATAATTATATATTAGTTATTAACTATCGCTAACTTTACATTTAACCTTTATGTCTATTTCATAATATTTTAGTAAATGTTATGACTTTGATAAATATACCTGTCAATAATATATTTATAATTATTATGATGTCTATTATAAATATTCGCTTCTCGCTAAGAGCTGGGCTCATGTCCGTGAAGTAATCGCCAATCATCATTGTTCAGCGCCCTTAAAGATATAATTTATTTTAAAGGGGATTGCGGTTGGCCCGGAATTCCGGTATATTTTGTTACTACTCATAACAACAAATAACAGTTATTTTTTGCCTTAGAGCGGGGATCACGCTAAATACGTTACTTTACATGCTACTTTCTTAAATAAGCATATTGTTATGTTTCTCCGACTGTCACAGGCCAGTTTGTTATTAAGTATTACATTATTATTTTTAGATATATTATGTGTTAGGTACGTATCTAATAATTAATATTTTATGAAGCCAATTTGGAGCAGTGTATTCATCGTATATTTAAGTTATATATAAATATATATACCTATACGTATAAGTACTTTAAGAAACCATTCGGATTTAATCTGGAAAAAATTGAATTCTTGTCAAAATGTAGTTAAATTAAATCATATGTATACAAAGCAAGTTTTTGTTATTCTTCCATTTCACACGTTTCATCACGATTCTCTTCTTCACGTAAACGAGAAGATATTGCTGCTAAAGATTCACATTAGTATTTATTTGGTCCGTGGATTCACAAATCCAAGTAATTTTAGAATTTAGCAGCACTAAAGCTCCTTGTAAAAGAGTCCAGGGATGTACTCTTACCTTACCTATATCTGCCGCCAAACAGTAATGTTAGCATTACTGCCTCCGATTTTGAACGGTACGGATGTAGGTGAAATTACAGGCGCGTGGGACTTGTCAACGTTTGTCTCAGGATGACGGGCGCAGTGGCAGTGCCCCTCAGATCTTTGCGATTTAAAACTCTGAGTGGCTCTGCAACCATTATGGACAGGCGTATCACTTACAACCAAGCGCGAAACCAAACTTGTTCGTCCAGTCACTTGATATTACAAAAAATTAGTCCCAGCTTCTTCGGACTACAAGAAAAACTGGAACACTCCATCCTTAAGCTCACTTATCAAGTCAGCCGTGACCAATGGGCCGTGAGCCTATAAAGGGCCCGAAACTTTCAGTTTGAAAAAGCAAATATAGGTACGCAATATGATCCGAAAAAAAATTGTTTCACAGTAGTGTAACAAAACCAAAGAACTTGATGTTCTATCCTTGTATCCCTATTTAGTAATTAATACACAGTGGGACACAGCAGGCTAATAAAAAAAATATTCAGGCGTCACTTGGTGGAAGTCCATGTTAACAATAATATAATCTCAGTATACATAGTACAAAAAATTTACCTCAAAAGTTCGCGGAATTATATCCATTTGCCAAGTTTTATTTTACAGTTACCGGAAAGTGCGCGACTCCGAATTCATGTGTCACTGGTGTGCCACCCTTAGAGGCGGAATATTTTAATTTTATTTATTATAAATTTAAATGGGACCACTTCTGAGGTATCGTCTTTCCAACACAAAAAGAATCATCAAAATCGGTTCACAAAGGCAGATATCGCGTAACATAAAAAACATACAGTCGAATTGAGTAACTGTATGTGTGAAAAATGGAGGTAGATTGATTATTATTGGTAGATGCTCCGCTACAGTGGAGGTTAAATCGTGCAAAATAGCCGAAGAAATTCTTCGGCCGAACGTCGAACAATTAACAACCCCTGTCGCCAATTCATTGATAACGAGAAGAATGGCAAAACACAACCTATAGATATGCATACATAAAGTGAACATGGATCTGTAAAGTAATTTATATTGCAAAACACCCTGTCGCGCGGTACTAAACTTACTGGAACTAAGGAAAATACAGTAAACATTTTTTATGACTAAACCTTTATTAGTGACAAACACGAAATAGAATTTCAAACATGACAAATCTATCAATTAATTAACAGCTGAGAATACGAGTAGTGTATCCGAAAAAGGCTTTCTGGCATTTTTCAGTGGCGTCTTATCTGTATAATAATATAACTAAGGTAAGTATAATATCTGTTTACTTATTAAGTAAAACTAAGGCAGTAGGTACAGAACATTACAATTATATTTATACAAAAAGTGAAGTAGATACGTTCCCAAGCTATTGAATGCATATTCCACTCCGATACCAAAAAACTTACGAGACTTTGTACCACGCCAGCACATCAAGCCACACGTTGACGTATCTGGTTCCGTTGCACTGGAGGAGATTTTCGAACGAAAATGTGTAGTCTGGTGTGCCGTCGTCCGTACATAGATAGGTGTTTTTATTCTTCTATATTTTATTCATATAATAAGATATGAAATTATCATTATTGTCGTATGAATAGTTTTCATTTATCAACTATTCAACGTATACAGCGTTATTTGTAAAATACTAACATCTGGCAGGTCTATATTACTAGGTAATACCATAAATAACGAATTTTGTTCCAGGACTTTTTACAAAACATACTAAACTTTTACGTTTCTAACACCTTCCGCGTGCTGTCATTCATAAAAATCATGTGGGCGGTGGGTATTTTCTTTTCCTACAACACAATCGTAGCGATATTTTTAAATACTTTAATTTTTGTACAAAAACTGATTTATACTTATTGGTAAACACCCAGTCGCGTAATGGTACACAACTTACTGGAACTTAAGGAAAACACAATAAACAATTTTTTTGTGACAAAACCTTTATTAGTGACAAAGACGAAATAGAATTCCAAACATGCCAAATCTAACAATTAATTAACAGCTGAGAATACGAGTAGTATTATCCAAAAAAGGTTTTTTGGTATCTTTCAGTGGATATTTTTTACAAAACATACTAAATTTACCAAAAATAAACTTTTACCGCACCTTTCACCATGATGGCAAGATTACAGCAGGTGTATGCCATCGATAGGATAGGAAGAAGAAGAAGAATCGACTTCATAAACTTTCTGTTTCCAGGCAAGATCAAAATCATATAATAAAGACCGTCATGAGTATGTTATAAAATTTGCAGGCAAAACTTCATTACCTTGACATCGTGTGTGGGCCGCCATTTCTAACAACGCCTTCTGCGTGCTGTCATTCATAAAAATAATTTTAGAGCGATCTATTGAAATACTTCATTTTTGTACAAAAGAAATCTAATGACTTATTAAAAGTCATGGAATAAAAATTGTTGTTAGTGATACAGACCTGGGAGATTGTTAGTATTTTACAAATAACTCTGCATATATACGACCTTTCAATGTATGTATGTATATAATTATACAAGTATATTGTAAAACCAATAACATATTATTATTAATAGGCATTATTTAAGTGTGCATGCTACGTCGTCAACCCCATCTTCACTTTCCATCGGGTGAGATGGAGGTCAAATGCGCACTTATTATTTATTAAAAAAAACTTAATTCTAGTACAAAATATAATATATTTATATTAACAAATAACTTATCAAGTTACCAATATTATCACTATGAATTGTAGACCAGCGAACGCGAATTGACTACATAAGTAAAAGGCTTTACGTAAATCAAGGTACTTCAGGATGTTTCCTGAACCGGTAGATATTTCAAAATCATGACTGAGCAAAAGATCAGTATTGCAAGACTGTATTACAAGCACACTATTGTTATTGCCACAGGAAACCAATACTGAGAAACCCAGCAACTCTTACGAAAATCTGAACACCCACCATCAAGACGACATCAACGAGTCCAAATTACCACACCTAAAAGTTAATATCAACATTAGTTTTGAATAGGTAAATCTTTTGTTTGTGCCATTATCATATTTTACAATAAATTTCCAATACATATATGCATACCTAATGATGTGACGAGAAGTGATAGAATTGGAAACTATTATATTAATAGAACACCAAAAGTATTTGTTTGGTTTGCTCTTGCTTTACACTAAAATATACTGAACCGATTTTAATAAAACTCGTCTGGATTAATATAAGTAATTATATATACCTTATATTATAGAAAACAGTTTTTAAAATATAACCAATAGGTAAATTCTCTATAAAACTAAACATATAAGATAAAAAATGTCAAAATTTTATGTTGTAAATTGAACCTTACCCTAATCACATAGTGGTCACGTATAAAGTTAAAAAAGCGAGGCTATGTACAGTAGTGGCATAGATTACTTAATAGTAACTTGTGGCAAAGTGTTTGGTGATTGGAAAATCAAAATAAGAACGTGCAACTTTAAACCCTTTGAACATGAATGTATGATAAGGGAAACTTATTTTTTAGCTAATTTCCGGAAATAAAACTAAGGAAAGCTATGTCCTAATAAGGATACCGTATATAAAGTATTATTCTCAAAAGCACTAATCACTTCTAAATACTTGAATTATATAAAATAAGTAATAAAATA